AATTTAAAAAAAAATTTGGGTCTACTCAGTGTTTTTTTTTTTTTGTTTGTTTGTTATTTAAGTTAATTTCTAATTTATTATAAACAGATAATTAATTTTTCCTACTGAAATATTATTTTGACAAAATATTGTGCAAACATGCTATACAATATTACTTGAATTGATATAACATTGATCTACTCGTGTGGGAAGGCACATCTGCTATCACTTAGCATTTGTTTAAAGCAAAGATATTGGCATTTGACTTTTCGATTTTTGAGTCTTTAATAAAATATTTATTACCATTACCAATTTGATTACCGATCTCTTGATATTTAATATTTCATTAGTTTATTTCTTTATTTATTTAATATAAACACGCATATTCTGTTAGCTGCGTCACTTGCTGCGATAAGTTGTTATTCAAAAAATTTTGAGTTTTTCAGCATAAAATCATTGCCAAAAGTTGAAATTTTATACTGAAAACCCAAAAACACCTTTCAATAATACCCCATCATCTCGAGTGATGTGACTAACAAAATAGATCGCAATAAGTACGCATATAGTTTTATTACGCAATTTTAAATTGAGATGAAAAATTTAATTTTGAAATTCAAAGTAAAGAGTAAAATTAAAATTAATTTTTTTAAAAGTATTCAAAAATATATTTTGTAAAAAATTATTTGTTTAAACTATGGTTTTATTACAAATACAAAAAAAATCAAATGCCAATTATGTCCGTTGAGAGTGCATACACTCGATTAGCCGAACACTCATAGCGATTAATAGCTGAAACGTTTTATGTAAAACAAACCTAAAATTTTAAAATTTACTTCATGCAGAACCTATAATTCTTATTGAATATAAACAACTATCACTGAATAAAATGCTTGTAAAACGCTACACATATGTGTGTATTGAAAATAAAGTATTTAAAAATGTCAACTCTTAATTAATAGTTTTTAGACTCAAATTTTTTTTACTTCTTTTTTAAAATTAAACGTTGTGAATTTGTAACACCCAATTAAGGATACTCTTCGTGTATGTTTAACACATACAATAATTTATTAAATTTAAAAATTAAATGAAAAAAAAATTTTTAAATAATTAAACGTTCTCCTTTTAAATATCCAAAACCAAATTCTTAAATTAATTAAAATTTACAAAAACGAAAAAAACAAATACGGAAAGGTTGTGTGTTTTACTCTTATTAAAACAATAAAAAAATAAAAACAAATAAATTAATTGTGTTGATTGTCTCTAAATGTCATAATGTTCGAAAAAAAAAAATCAAATTCAAATTTTTAAAATCTCAATATATTTATGTTCACCTCACATGTATAATTAAATAAAAATATAATTTTAAATAATAAATTATGTATTAAATATAAATATTAAGAATTTAATGTTATTCAAATGAATTAACAAAAATAAAAAAACACAAAACAAAAATGAATAAATAAAATAATTCAAAGTCGCAATGCTACAACGGTACCTTGACAAACATGTAACAAAACGATGACATATTAAATTATTTAAGAAGTGTCAAAAAATGTTAAAAATAAAATAAAAAGAAAATTAAAAAACAAAAAAAAAAGAAAATAATGCTGCAACTAAGCAACTTATTGCATACGTTTAGGCTTACAAATAAGATATTATGATTCTTGAGAAACAAAAAAAAAAAAAAAAAATAAAAAAAATAATTATACCTTGGCCTACCTAACCAATGGATTTGGGTTTACATACTCAAAGTATTTGACTTATGTACGTCAAAAACTTAAAGTAACTTCATGTAAACCGAATCCAAGAAGAATACATGTAAATCCCATATTCCCATCCCCATGCTCTCAATGTGATTTCTGTCTTTTTTTCTTTTTCATTTTTTTTAACCTCACCCTTACTTATTATTAAATAAAATTTAAATAGTAAATAAATGAGAAGTTAAAATGTTGTATTAATATAGATAAATTTTAAATAAAAATGTGAGAGGGGCTAAATTAACATGAAAAATGGATATAGGCACGAAGAAAATTTAAAAATTCAATATTATAAAATTTATTTATTTTATATAAAAAATTATAGGAAATAACAATATGGACCACGTGACAGACGCTGTATATAAAAAGAAATTTATAAATCATATTAAATTATTGTGATAATTTAAATTTAATTAAAAAAAAAAAATATGAAAGAGAAAGATATATTATATAAAGAGAGGGAAGAAAAACATAAAAAAAACACGAATAGAAAGAAAAAGTAACAATTTATTTTATTTCAAAATTTAAATAAACGGCATAACATTTACAAAAATAAGAAAAATTATTTGTAAATAAAAAAATTAAATATAATTTTTATTAAATTTTCAGTTTTTTTTTTGTTTTCATTTTAAAACTAAATAAAATAGTTTATAATTATCAGTTTGCATAAGTTGTGAGCAAATAAAATTAAATTTGTTTTTAATTAATTAAATTAAAATATTTTGATTTGACACACCTCCTCATCTTTTTCAAAAACGCTGAAATTTATTGAAACCAAAATTACAAAAAACGAAAAGGAAGTGATTATTTTTTGTTACTCCTATCGCATCAAAAAACATTCTGTATTAATGCATTCGGTATGGTCAAATTTATTGTCAAAGTTTTGACATTTTAATACTTAAATGCAATTTTTTGATTGCAATCGATTAATATAAAATAAACAGTTTTTATTTTCTAAGTGAAGAACAAAGCATTTTAAAATCTTTTCTTTTATCGTAATATAAAATGAATATAAGAACATGAAAATAACAGTTTTTAATCTTAAAATCTTAAATACTTTTTATTTGTACTTCATTTTCTCAACGTAAATAGTTGAAATAGTTTACATAAAAAAATGTCAAACATCTGCAATTGATTCTCATTTTCTTTTTAAGTTTTATTAAAACGTAACGTATCACGTTTTCTGTCAATAAAACCCAATTAACGTACACAATACATGTATATACATACATGTATGTATAATTTTGTAGGTTGTATGTTGATATCTACAACAAAATTCCCTTAAAATTTCTTATTTCAATAAGAAATTTGTCTTATTGTTAAACACAATCAACTTTTCACTCATAACGTCAACACCTAACCTTCAAATTTTCTTATACACTTTTATGTTTGCATTAACATTTAAGTGCATTGTATATCAACCCCTTGTTATGTATGTCAACACCTTTTATCTGCATTCGCGAATAAAAGAGGTGCTTTTTTTGTATTTTTGTATTAAATTCTCAAATCAAATATAAATTGTCAATAATTTATCTATCAATATGACTATTTACACGATGGATTTATGCATCTTATGAAACTTGTGTTAACCGCAAGTACAAAAGTCGTTGTGTAAACACAGGTGATTATCTCAAATTTCTATATTACTCTTGGTCTTAGAATACAATCGTCGCTAAGTAAATTCCAATTATTACACTATTATTGAATGCATTTTTTAAGTATCTTTAATTTAAGTTTTTTGAATAAAAAGGGTAAATAAATTTAATTTTATATTGCACATAACTTACAATTATTTTCTTAAATTTTTGTTTAAATTTAAAAAAATATTTTTACAGTATTAAATAAAATATTTAAATTATAAATCGATTAAGCAAATTATAGAATGTTATTATGTATATTAAAAAAACAAATAGCTAAGAAAAAGATAAAGAGAATATTTATAATATTATTCAAGATATATGTATACAATATGTATATATATATATATATTGTAGTACTTATATAATATATTATATAGAACGAAAGAATAGAAACCAAAAAGTTATAAAATATTAATTTAGTTTAATTAAACAACGTATAGTTAAAACAATAAAAATTTAAAAACAAAAAACCAAAATTTATTTCTTTAAAACGTAAAAGGTCAAATTATTTGTTTTTACTATTTAAAATCAAATTATAATAAAAAAAAAATATATGAGAAAATGTTAAAAAAAAGACGAAAAGAGGAAAAAAATAAAAAAAAATAAAAAACACATTTATAGTAGATTTTAAATTTGATAATAAATTCTGAATTAAAAAAAAAGTGTAGACGCAGGATAAGTGAAGATTTAAAATAATTTTCAAGAGAAACATATTTACCTGTTTTTCAGTGATATACATTACTATATTAAATTAAAAAGTAAAAAATGAAATATTTAAAAATTCAAAAAAAAAATGTTTAAAAAATTTAAATTTAATATGTGAATCTATATATATATTATGTGCAGTCATCAAATTATAATTATTATTTAAAACAAAAGAAAATAAGCAAAAGATCCAAATCACAAAAAACAAAAAAAAATGCACAAAACCAAGTTTTGTGTAAAAAAAAAAAAACATTTTAAAAAAATGCAAATTATCAAAAGTTAAGAATAATGTTAAAAAATAACAAAAAAAAATTATTATTATTATTATTAATTATTAAATGTAAAAATATTATGAAAAAAAAATTTTCTTTTTATTGAAAATATTATAAAAAATATTTTAGGCTAGATAAAATATTACAAAAAAGTATAATTAAAAAACAAAAGCAAAAAAAAAATAAAAAAAAAACAAAAAAAACAAAAAAATAACAGCAAAACAAAAAATTAAAAAAAAAAAACAATTATATATTTTTGGAGATGTAGAATCTAAGGAAACCTTATATTATGAGAAGAAAAAAGTGGGACATTTAAAATTATAAAAATTAAAAAAAAAATTAATAAAAATTATATAAGAAATGGTTTCATTTATTCTTTTTAATTACAATCTTTTGCAAAATTTTCCTTCTCTTCCCGAAAAAATTTTTACAGTTTTTACAGTCTATTATCGAATCCGGTCATTCACACCAGATGGCGAAATTAAAAATACTCATGTGAACGGCCATACTTCGTATAAAAATAATTATATAAGAATTGTCACTTAAACATCAAATTAAAGCTATCACTAAAAACTTTTATTTAAATTTTAAAATTAAAGCAAAGTATTCAAAAATATTCTAAAATATCGCAGTTTATTTTAATTACATAATTGAAAAACATAATAATTAAAATTGTATTCAACCATTTTAAATATTCTTAATTATAATTTTATGCAAATTCAACAAAAAAAAGTAAGGGGTAATTAGTTTTTATAATTATTTGTGAATTTTCTAATTTTTAAATATGCTTTATATGGTTTAGGGCTCAATGTAATTCCATCGAAACCAATTTTTTCTGGTAAATTTTTATGATCCTGTAATTCAATGTCAAAATTTTGTACAAAAATTGCAAAAAATAAAAATAAACTTGATCTTGCCAACATTTCTCCAACACATCTTCTTTTTCCTAAAATAGAATTCAATAATACAAAATTAATAGATATTAAAGGTAATTATAACACGATTTACCTAAACCAAATGGAATAAAATATTCATGATGAATAAGTTTGCCATCATTATTTAGAAATCTTTCTGGTCGAAAATTATGCGGATCAATCCAATATTTTTTATCCATATTTAAACTATATATTGAAACTAATGCAAGAGTATTCTTTGGTATAATATAATTTTGATAATTAACAGTTTGCAATGTACGATGAATAATAGCTAAAGGTGCAACACTTGATATTCTTTGAATTTCGTATATTACTGCTTCAGTATACGGTAAATTATTTCTATCAGATAGCTTTAATAAACGATTTTGACCTATTACACCATATATTTCAGCTCTAACTTTTTCTAATATTTCAGGATAATGTAACATATAAATCAAACCAAAACCTAAGGTATTACTTGTAGTTTCAGAACCAGCTTGAAAAAAATCCAAACAAATAATAAGTAATTGTTCTGCTGTAAATGTTGATTTATCATTCTTAAATTTCTCAATTTCAATTAAATATGCTTCAATAAGACTTTTAATTTCTTTATTCAAATTATTTGTACCAATTTTATCTTTAATTTCCTTAATTCTTTCTGTTAAAAAACTTAATAGCGGTTTGGTATTTTTAATCATTTTATTATAACCACATTTTTCTGGGAAAAAATATCTTATAAATGGAAATTGATTTAATATTCCACCCGACATATCAATATCTCTAAAACATTCATGAATTAATTTAACCAAATTTAATAATTTTGTATCGTCAACATCAAATGTATAGCCGGCCAATAAAGCCCACATAACATTCAGAACTGGAATATCAAAAAGATGTTGCATTTCTAATAATTCTTTTTTTATTGCTTTTTTACGAAAATTTTCAATCATTTTTTGTGCTTCAATTTCAATATGAATTAAACCATTTTTACCAATTCCCATTAATTGTTTTAATATTTTCATAGAAAACCTTCTTTGAACTTCCCATTCTTTTCCATCTGTAAAAACGATCCCTAAACGTTTATTAAACGAACGAACTTTAAAAAAAAATCCATTTGGTCGTCCATTAAATTCATCAATACTATAAAATTCTTTAACAGCATCGATTCCAGATATTAAAATTACACGATCACATCCAATTCGAAAACCTACAACAGGACCCCATATCGTTGCAAAATGCTCCCACATTAAATGATAAAACTTAAAAATATTTATTAATCGTTGGAGTAGTGGAATACAACCAACAATTGGATACCATTTTGGACCTTTAAAAATAGTAAAAATTTTAATATTAAATAACGTTTACTTTTACAATTTTATAAATTTAGAATAGACCTGGAGGAAATTTTTTTGGTTTTCTTGTGTCTTTCCAAATGAAAGTTAAAATTAAGCAAAATAAGAACAGAGCTACTAAAACCATTATTGTTAAAAAAATCTTTAGAAATTTTTAAATCTATTTGAACTAAGCAAATCAAACCGCTTTACAAGAATTATTTTATACTAATAAGAAAGTTGCATCAAGAAATTTTGCTTCTCTCTGAAAATATAAATAATCCCTACTTTTTTACTTCAGTATATGATCTTAAAACTCAATGTGTAGTCACTTGAAAAAACAAATTGTGTATTTAAAATTGTCAATTTTCTATTCTTGTGTGGTTAAAATTAAAAATTGTTCATTATAATTTTAAAAATAAAATATTTTAGCTTTACTTTTGCCCTTAAAATTGACAGCTTATGAATTCTTAATGTTTTTGAATAAATAATGGAAATAAGTAAGACCTATTCTTTCCAGATCTATTGTAGGTCATGACATTTTGTTTAAATGAAATTTTAAAAGTGAAATGGTTTTAAATAGAAGCTTTGAAATTTCTTTTGAAATCTTTTTATTGTTTCTTTGCGTTTTTCAGAAAAATTTTTCAGAATCAGAACTTTTGTTAATTCTTTCTATTGTATTTATTGTTTCTTTAATAATAAATTTGACTAAAATTATAATATTATTCTTAATCTTATAAAATATTCTTATAAGTTCAAGCTATAATAATTCAATTTTCATAATACACTACAACTTCATTTTAAATGACAAGACCATAAAGTCAAATATTAGAATAATAAATTTAAATAATTATAGCAATATAACAACATAAAAGATTAAGTAATTAGGACCTTGCGATTGCCAAATAAAACAAGCTTTGTACAACCGTGACAGTTGGAGTTGTAGTTGATATGAAATACTAATAACAGTAACATCTTAAAAACTAAATCTACAACTGTAACTAACACATATCCTTCATCAACCTGTATGATAGTGCGTAGTACAATTTTAAGCAGATAAAAGTTTATTTAAAAAAAAAAACAACAACAAATAAAGGCAAAACAATTTATACTACGTTTTCCGTTAAATAACGGCTATCTTAAGCTGCCGTGACTGTCTTAAAGACAGTTTGAATAAAAATTAAAAAAAAAACAAAATTCAAAACTTTTAAGTACTTATTCAATATAAACGTCAAAAAAAACATATTTTATCACAATTTTAATATTTCCTTGGCGTTTAAGAAAGTTTTCTTAGATATGCTTATATCTAAAACATAAAGCTTTACAACTTTGACCACTTGGTCAAAAGTTCCTCATATTGTTATTTTATAAAATATCCATAAAAAAAACACAAAGATTTTACAAAAATTACTTTGATTATTTTTTATGCAAATTTTTTATTATTGTTAACGAATCTATTTTGAATGGAAAATAAAGTCTTCTAAAAAAAAGAAATCACAATAGAGTTGACACTCTTGATACATAAATATATACATACATACATATGAACATAAAATTTACAATTTATACTGAATTAAAAAATTTCATTTTATTATTATTCTCTTAACTTTCATTGTCTCTTAAAAATGCAATTAAACTCAATTTGGGGGGGGGGGGGGAGAAAAAAACTTCTCTTTTATAACAATTCTCAAATTACACACACTTTCAAAATTCTATACAAATTTTTTTAACATCTTGAATTGAATGTACACTAAAAGCACATGGTAATTTTTTTTTTATTATTTTTTGTATTTTTCTCTTTTTTTTTTACTTTGATAACAAACATAAATTTCAAAGACGTTTCGAATCTCTTGTTGCGTTTAGAATTCATTTAATTAAATAAATTCATAGAGATGTTGATTAAATTTGTACAGAGTAATGGTGCACCGTCACCGCGTTTAAGGATCTATTGTGCCGCACTCATCCTCCTGATGAACTCGAGCAATAAAAAAGTATATTTTTTACACAAAAACGTCCGCAATTTAAATAATAATTATAACTGGTAAGATAATGTCAACAATTTTTAACTTACAAATTTATAATATAAATTCTTAATTTAACCCTTTTTTGAGGGGTTAACAATAATATTCTAAATATTTGTGGTATGAAATTTAATGAAACTTCAGAATTGCAGTAATACTCTACTGCTACACAATGCAGTATACTCTATTGCTAAATAAAAACTGATAACCTGAATTTTGTATTAATTCCGTTTTACTACAATTTCGACTAAACATTAACATTAACTAACGGGCTATCAGAACCGAAATTTCTGTCCAACCATATTCTTATAGATTTAATCAGTAAGCATGCAGGGATGATAAGAATCAGTAATCATGCAGGATCACATAAGATGTTCCACCTTAATATACATACTTTTAAAGTCACATACATATTTTACTACTTACAATTTACAAGTTCAACCTCAACTTTTATATTTCAGATGCTTCTAACATTTTTACTTGCATTAGCATTTAAAGTACATTTTATTTTATCAAAAAATGTAAAAATATTTTTTTTTTCTTTTTTGTAATTTTTATTATTGCATACCCAATATAATATTTCAGATAACTTACGCTAGGGGAGAAAAAAACAGTGGTGTTATACAAGTAAGTATTTAAATGAAACGTGAAATTTTTGTTAATAAATATTTCTTGGCTTATAATTAGAAAAATTTTATAAATTTCAACAACAATACTTTAATTAAATTCTAGTCATGTACATAATGTACAAATGTATATACAATACAAAAGTGTTTAATATAATTTACATAATTTAGCTCTATTAATTAAAATAGTATAATAAATACATAATGTATATGTATGTATATAAACTCGTATATTAATTTTAATTTCTTAAAAGTTTAAAATATGAAAGTAATTCTGGTTTGTATTTCTATTTTCGTTGTACATATATTTACATACATATGTACATATATTATAAATTAATATTTATGGTAATATGAAAACTATGCAATAAAAATTTTTAAACATCAATTTTAAAATACAGTATAAGTAGAAATATGGTAAGAATTTAATTTATATGAACATATGTATGTACATATATTGTACATATGCTTATGCTATGCATGAACTAAACCAAACATACTTTAAAGAGAAGCGTACGTATAACATTTAAGTATTTTATAAAATTTCATCACTGAAAACTTTTATAACAATTATAAACTCTCAGCATTCCAATAAACTAAATAAAATCATTTTAAAAAAAATTTCAATTTTTAGTTTCATTGAAGTTATCGGTCAGATTAGTCATTTAAATTAGAAGTGCCTCTTTAGAGAGAGTTTTTTTTTTTTGTACATATTTTAATTAGAACAATTTTTTTTTTCTTTTTTTTTTCTTTTTGGTATTACTTAAGTTTTACATATGAATTTTATGTAATATTGTACAAAATACTCACATAATATTTTAATTTTTCATAATACTTAATCATTTTAATGAATTTATTCAAATTTATTCAATTAATATAAAGTGAAAAGATTGATTAAATATAAAAGAAAAATATTATAGTTGTATAAATCGCTAATTTACAAATATACGGAAGCCGCACGCAACTTTCTTTGATAATAAAATTGATAAAATTTTGTTTTTGGTTTTTATTTTGTTTGTTTTTTTTGTTGAGAAAAATTTTCTTGAGCCGCCAAAAATTTTTATTCGAATGAAAAAATAAAAATTAAATATTTTTATTAAGTAAAATGATTATTTTAATAACATTAATTGTTATTTTAATTGCTTTATTGACCGGTTGGATACTGAAAACAATTAAACGACCGCCGAATTTTCCACCAGGTAAGACTTTTTTGTGGCTATTAAATTTTTTCCCTTATTTTGATATTAAATAATCAAAGCGTTAATTAACTACATTTTTAAATATCTTGAAAATCAAAAATAGATTAACTCGCTTGATAAATAAGAGAATGTAGAATAAATTTCTGATAAATAATCTTTGAAAAGTATTTGTATTGTTCCCAATATTTTAAAAATTTACTTTTACTTTGTACCTAATGTACAATTAATACTATATAGGAAATAAATTGTGAGATACATAAATATGAATGCACATGATTCTCAAAATAGTGCCAAACAGAGTGATTGAACAGTCTGAACCATTAGTTTTAGAATACTCGTAGAATGAGAAAACTAAATTACATATTCTTACAAAAGTATTTAAGTATGCATGTACCAAACAGCTGATCTGATAGCATAATATTTGAAGAGAAATTCTCTTCTACAAGTAGGTATTCATGGGATTTGAGAAATTGCAATGTAATAGATATAGTTTGACAGCCATAATACGAATCACTAATCTCTGTTTTTGAATCATTAGGGCTATAAAAAATAAAATACAAATATAAAGTTATGTACGTAACGTAATTAGAAAAACAAAAAAGAAAATTTTTGTTTACATTTTACGTGTGAAAAAAAGTTCAATGCTCATAAAATTTCCAAATCAAAAATTGTATGTTATAGATAGTTTATATTATTTGCTAAAATCGTGTTAAATTTTTTGGTGTTAATGAGGGTTTCGTCTAAAAGAATGTTGTGTTATAATGCGAGAGTTTCGTGTTGTTAAAAAATACAACTTTGGTTGATCATTGGTGCTTTACTTACAAATCTCCACAAAGTTTTATTAACATACGTTATTAACTACTAAGAAATAAGATCTAAATTTTCGTAATGAGATTCAATTATTGAAAAATTTCTGCAAATAATCAATTTTACCTTTTATCAATTATACCTTAAGTAAATATGTAAATACTTTAATTGAATTAAACAAAATAAATAATTTAATTAATTCAAAGATCCAAATGATCGTAAACAAACGAAAATTATAAGATCTAGCAGCATGAAATTGTTTATCAATGAATTTTTAATATGCAATTTATTTCTAACCATACAGATGTTATAATATTTGATAGAGATAGTCTTATCAATGTGTATACTATTAATTTCTATTGTGTACATATGTATGTATGTATATCGTTGCTTTTAGGATGATAATAATAATATAATTATATACAAATATATAATTAATAATTAATTTGGCATTAATTATTATTATTGTTATTCTTCTTTTATAGAAGGTTAAAAGGGCCAATAATTATTAACGACGAATAAATATGTTTTTTAATTTAAATGGATTTGATTTTGTTATACAATTTATTTTAGCAATTAATTTTACAGTAGAATAATTTACTCTTAAATAATAATAAAATTTTGTTAGAGAAAGTAAGAAATACCTAAGAATATATTCAGATTAAAGGATATAGGTCTCTAGCTCCTCTATAGGTTTTAGCAAATTGTAAATTATTATATTAAAATTTTTACAATATTTATTAAAATTTTACAGATTAAAAATTTATTAAAAAAATTTTTTCAATATTTTAGGTCCGAAATGGTGGCCATATGTCGGAAATACTTATCAATTGCGTAAGTTAGCACGTGATATTGGAGGCCAACATTTGGCTTTTGAGTTATGGGCTCAAAAATACAATAGTGACATAATAGGTTTGAAACTTGGAAGTGAATATGTGATTGTAGCTTTTTCTTATCCACATGTAAGGCAGATTCATACAAACGAAGTATTTGAAGGTCGGCCTGATAATTTTTTCCTTCGCTTAAGAACTATGGGTACTCGCATGGGAATCACATGCACTGACGGTGCTCTTTGGAATGAGCATAGAAATTTTGCAACACGTCATTTAAGACAAGCTGGCTACGGTCGTTTACCAATGGATTTACAAATTAAAAATGAGCTTGTTGAATTGCTTTCCATTATAGAAGATTACAATGGTTGGCCAGTATGGCCTGGTAATTTTTTAGCACCTAGTGTAATAAATGTGCTATGGGCACTCACTGCTGGAAAAAGAATAGAACGACACGACGAAAGACTACAAAGATTATTAGAACTTTTCCAAAGAAGAACCAAAATTTTCGATATATGTGGTGGCCTTCTCAGTCAATTTCCATGGCTAAGATATATTGCACCAGAGAAAACAGGATATAATTTAATAAAGCAATTTAATCAAGAATTACATAATTTTTTCATGGAAACTATAAATGAACACAAAAACACTTATTCGGATGATAAAGCAAAAGATGACCTTATCTATGCTTATATCAAAGAAATGAAAGAAAGAGAAAATGAAGTTAATCATACATTTACAGATCATCAATTAACGATGACAATCTTAGATATATTCATAGCAGGAGCACAAACTACTAGTAATACATTAGACTTAGCGTTAATGATGATGGTAGTAAGACCTGATATTCAAGAAAAAATTCAATGTGAAATTGATTCAAAATTATCAAGTAAAGATTTCTCTGTAGCTGATTCAAAAATAAAACTGCCATTTACTGAAGCTTTCTTAATGGAGGTTCAACGGTTCTTTCATATTGTTCCTATATCTGGACCTAGAAGAGCATTAAAAGATGTAAAATTAGGTAACTACAATATACCAAAAAATACGACTGTTTTGATAGGATTAAAAAGTGTTTTAATGGATAAAAATTATTGGGGAGATCCAGAATGTTTTAGACCAGAAAGATTTCTAGATGACGAAATATACACAACAATATCTAGCGAATATTTTATGCCATTTGGTCAAGGCAAAAGAAGATGCTTGGGAGATTCTTTGGCTAGATCTTGCTTACATACATTTTTCGTGGGTATTTTAAAAAATTTTAAATTAAAACTAGGTGCAAAAGAAACCATTCCAAGCTTAAATTTGATACCAGGACTAACATTATCTGCTAAGCCATATAAAATAAGCTTTTTACCCCGTTGATACTTTCAAAAATTATATTGGAATATACATACATTGTATTATGAATTGTAACCACCTAAACGACAAAAAAAGCAATAAAACAAAATTTTTATTATTTTATTTGTAAAAGCTTTCATGTTATCGACTCTTACAGGAACGAACTTCAGAATCATTATTATCATCTTTGTCCCATTCAAATGATGTTACGTATATAATATACAACTTGACAAATACTTGAAGAGATCTGCAAAAAAACGCATAAATAACATTTTTTCCAACATATTCTGTTATAATTTCCCTTGTTTTACTTTTCTTAAAACATACATAATCATAAAATATACATGATCTACTCATATATTGGATTAAAATAAAAATATAAAAATGAATTATATCAGACTTACTTTCTATTTATCAAATTTTATTATATTGATTTGATTCATTTCTTTATAAACACTTTTATTCCTTTAACGATCTAAATCTAATTCAAATTCAAAATATTAGAGTCTACTCATAAGAAAAAAAATGGTTAATGAAAATTCCGTTTAATTTGTTGTTATATCGTATTTTTATTTTGAATTTTCTTCGATTTATGTTTGATGAGAGTGTATATCGTCTTATTGCCAAACAGATTGAATTTATGTATAAAGTTATTTTTACAGAAATAATAAAGTATTTGCAGAAATGTATATAGATCTCTGAAATATCCACAATTTGTTACAACACGAAGTACATTCATATTCTGGTTTTCGTTGGAAGTGCTTTATTTCATTGATAGTCCATAAAATTATCATCCAGCTTTTTAAAAATAAATTTTGATATCTCAATTCTTTATAATTTACCAATAAACAAGTACTCCCGTATTCCTTTAATATGGTCCCTCTATATCGCAACTTTCTCTGTAAAATGTCAAAAACATATGATTCAATTTTTATTTTCTAATTTTTGGAACACCTACATACATTTACACGCACATTTAGTAAAAAAAGTAAACATGCTCTTTGTTTGTTTACTAAAGAAATAAACATGGAACCAAGTTGTTTCTAAATGGCAAATTTTTGTTTAATTTGCATAGGTTCAAAATGCTTTTAGAAAAAGCTATTTATGCTGGATTGTGTGGTGCAATTGGAAGTGTTTTTGGAAAATACATAACTTATTCTTTTGATACTATTATAGTGAGTATATTAGTATAAAAAAATTTAACAGTTTTAATTCTAATTACATTTGAACAAATTTCTTAACAGTGGTCTTATTTTCTTCAAATACTTTGTTTAGTATTAATGATACTTTTCAATACATTGAATATGAGATTTTTTGTGAACAGCCTCCAGGAATCGAATAATTCTTTATCGCCTACAGTCACATCTTTTGCAGCAAATTTTTTCTTTTCTGTAAGAAAATAAAATACATTTTAAATCCTTAAATGACATTTTATCGAATTTTAGTTTGCATTTGGTGTATTTATATTTAAAGAGAAAACATCGTTTATATCTGTTTTGGGGATTATTTTGATCATTTTTGGATTATACTATTTGTGCGATACAAAACATAAAAATGAAGGAGTTATTACACATGAAGGAACCAAAAATAAATTGCATTGACCCCAGTTAGACGCCAAATTATTCCTAAATATTCAAAATTTATCTCACAATTTTAGAGATCTAAGAACTTATCTAAGGCTTATTTCAATTATAATGTATTGATTCTGTAAGATTAAAAAAATTTAAACGAATTAAATATATGTATGCATATGAGAGCTTCTTAACAAAATTTGTGTTCATTTTGGTAGTTGGAGCTTCAATAACTAGAAAAAAAATTAATTCAGCATGTATTCCATAAACCGTAATATGGTTTCAGCTAAAAAACGAACCACCTCAAATATGAAGAGAGAATACACTACAATATCTAAGTTCAAAACAAATTTACAAGATGTTCCTAAAGCGATGTCAGTCTTCGTTAATTAAATTATCGCTTATAAATTAAAGTTGACGCAAATGTTGTTTATTTCATATTTTGAATAAATTTATTCTTACCGCTTCCATTTTATTTCCTGTTAGTAAAAATTAGTTATTCTTTTGTATTACAGTTTTATGTTACAGTTTTATGTTAACAGTTTTATGTTAATTAGTCCGAATTCTGAATTTTCAAAATTATAGAAGCATTTTTACTGTGCATTTTATGAGAAGTGTATCAATGAATACCAAAAACCCAAAAATATGCACAATAAATTCCTCAATTGAAAAAATGGACAAATGCTAATTCTTCCTTTAATCATTAAATTTTACTTCTAAATTTTTGTAGTAATTTTACCCTCAATAGATCCAGAATACTCAATCGTTTACCCTCTACCGTTTCCAAATCTGAGTTGCTCGTATTTCACATAATTGTCTTCTACTTTCCAACTATGCCCATAGTAAATATTCAAAATGGGCGATTATATATTTTATTTTATTGTAACGTTTAATAAAAAAGTTTATATAATTCCCATATATGTATGAATATATACATATACATTGTTTTGTTTTATTTAAAATTAAATTTATAAAATTTGTTTTTATTAAATTTTAATAAATGTAATATAATTAATATTCGTTCTTTAATTGAAGCCATAAAAATAATTAAAAAGAAAAATTAAGGGAAAAAAAAAATTTTAATATTTTTTTGAATTTATTTTTATATATATTTTTTTTCTATAAAAGAGAAAAAATTAGAGAAGAAAAAGGTAGATAAAAATTGGAACTGTGAACATTCTTCCACATTCCGATTTTTATTAAATCCATTTTTCCTTTACAGTAATGCAGATAAAATTCAAAATTATATAATATTTATTTTGAGATATATACATATATACGTTGCGCAATATTTATTACCATTATATAAATTACGCAATATATATATAGATATAACATTCTTTTATTTCCTTATTTACTTGTAATAATTTTTTTTTGTTTCCTTTTATTTGAAAGATATAATTAATCTCTATTATTTCACATTTTTTTCTTTTTTTTTTATTATTTAGTATTTAATTTTTGTGTACTAATTTTAAGTAGTAGTAAATTGAATTTTTAATTATCTATCGTTTTTTGTTTCTTTCTATTTCAAAGGAATATTAATATTTTATTACTCAATTATTAAAATTCTATTTTTTTATGATTATTTATTAATATTATTACATTACTTGTTATAATTTAAATAATTATTTGATATTAATATTTCAACACATAGGTTTAAATTTATTTGTAATCAATTATTTTTTCTTAATTTTTTTTTTAATTTAATTAATAATACATTTATAAATTATACTCTGCCCATATTTTCCGTTTTAGTTTCGTATATATTCATTTTGATACATAGATTTTATGATTTTTTCGTATTTATCCTTTTAATTGATTTAAATATTTATTCCTTGTTTATTATAGATGGTATTAAGTCTTTTTATATTTTTTAATATTGAAATTTTAATTTACGACATTAACGTCCTGTTGCCGTGGTGGCCGACTACTATAGGCTCCAGCAGAAGTACGTGGTCCTCCAGCTTGACCACGCGGTCCCATTCCACCACTCCCTCCTCCAGCACTTCCAAGACTACCGCGTTGTTGCCTTGGTGGTGGACCATTACCGCCAGAACGAGGTCCTCCACCAGCATTTCCTCCACCAGCAGTTGGCCTTCCTCTATAGCTTTCCCCCGCATTATTACCACCACCTCCATAACGGTTTCCTCCATTATCTTTATTCCCTCCGTTGTAACCGTTATTATTTCCATTCTGATAGTAATTATCATTATTACGGAAATAAACAGAGTTTCGATTTCCACCAGCTATTCCTCCACCATTTCCACCTCCTGGTCCACTGGAATTTCCGTTACTATTTTGAGAAGTTGAATAACTTGATCGGCCACGATATCCCCCCGTATTGCCGCTACGACTATTATCGTTTCGATCATTACGAATGCTACTATTTCCGGGACCACCACCATTTGTTCGATCATTTCGATTAAATGATTGCCGTCCTCTGTAATTGGTTGATGCTTCACTACTATTCCAATGGTTAGACTCTTGCGAATCAAATGTGCTAACCCAGTCGTTATTTTTATTATTTAAACCACTTGTTGCATTATTTGATGAATTTTGACCGCTATGCTGGGAATTTGTGTGCATGTCATTGCTCCATTGATTTGAATCATTAATATTTGAACCACCTAAAAATAAAATAATTTACATAAGAAATTAATATTTACAAATTCATTTCTTATACCTCGATCATTAGCACTGTTATTAGTGTTGTTATTAGTGTTATGATGCTGTGCTGCATGAAAATGTGATGTGTTATGAGATGTGCTGTAATGAGAAGGAGGTTTATGAACTTGTTGCGATGTTTGTTGTTGCATCTGTAATTTGGTAGCATCAGTTTCCCAATCATTCACACTTGCTGTTGCTATAATATCTTTAACTTGTACTTGATTCGTTCTTTCTTTGATTTCCATTTTTTGGGTTTTATGTTCAAGAATGCGAACAGCTTGATCATATTTATCTTGTGATGATTGTTGAGATAAAGTACCTGTTGCACCGCTATTAATGTTATTATTTTGATTGTTTAAGCTATGATGAGGTGGAATCTGGGATGGTTGTTGCTGTTGCTGTTGTGCTGAAACTGCTTGAGATGCTGAGACAATGTTGGATGGAAATTTGGCATTTACGAAACCAGTGGGTAATCCTGACAAATTATTTTGATTAGTTGTAGATTGTTGTAACTGAGGATGTGGGTTATGATGTTGTTGCTGTAATGTTGCTAAAGCAGCAACTTGTTGCTCAGCGAGAGTTAAGTTGCTTGTGGTTCCAGCCACACTTTGTTGAGATTGTGCACTTAATGTTTGCTGTTGCTGCTGTTGTTGTTGTTGTTGATGATGAGCTATCAATTGATGAGGTGTTATACTAGGCATTGTTGAATGATTCTGATTAAAAACTTGTGTTATTTGTGGTGCTTGAGATTGATTGGTTTGGATTTGTTGAAGAGGAGTGTTGGGCACAACTGCAGATGGTTGTTGCGATTTTTCATTATTCACATTAGGATTTATATTTACTACAGGTGTTTGCTGATGAATACCTGAAACTTATACAAATAAAATTTTGATGTTTACAAAAAACATTAATATTTACCTGGCGAAGAATGGGAATTAGAAGCTGCTGGAAAGATTGACTGTACCTGAGGAGGTGGAACGATGGGAGGGAATGATTGATTTGTAAAAGTTTGTGTTGGAATTGCTGTCGTTGGTTGCTCAGATAAATTGTTCGGCACAGGTTGTCCACTTATATTAGCTTGAGGTGCTGGGACTGAATTGACGGATTGTTTGTTTATTTGTGGCTGTTGCTGTGTTTGCTGCGGTTGAGTCTGCGATTGCTGCTGCTGGGTCTGCTGCTGCTGCGAGTTTTGCTGAACGTTTGAAACTTGGGTAATCCCATTTTGCTGTTGTTGAATAGCACTTAAACCAGGCAACGGCTGTGTCTGTGTCGGACTTGCTGCCGGAAGATTTACTACGTTTGCCTGTTGATTTTCTGTTAAAGTTTGTTGTTGATTTTGTGGTTGTTGCTGGGGATGTTGAGATTGCCCAGCCGGGAAGCCATGTGGTGGAGCTGGCAATCCAATCATATCTGGAGAGTCTAGTTCACTATCTTGAAGGAAAAAGAAATTTCCACCCCCTATTACTTCAGCTAGTGGCCGCATTTGTTGAATATACTGATGTTGTTTAAAGTATGCTTGTTCAACAGCACGTACCGTGGTTGGAGGAAAATGTCCAGGCGCTGGCACGCCCTGTATTTGTGCAGGAGCAGTTGGAGCTGGAATTTGTTGAACTGCTTGTGGTGGATGCTGCAAAGGAATCTGATGCGGTCCTTGTTGCCGCTGAATTTGCTGTAATGCTATTTGTGGTTGCTGCAGTTGCGTTGGCAAACCCCCAGGCGCAACAACCTGAGAAACAGGTGTTTGTGGAGCTGGTGGAAATGCTGGTGCAGGAACTGCTGCAGCCGAAGGCGCTTCGCTTGTGAATTTAGGCATATTATTTGGTTGTTGATCAATTTGAACTGGAATTATTTGTGAAATTGGCGTTTTTACTGGCACTGGCTCTTCTAAAGCACTAGTGCAAGGCGGTGTGGGATCAACTTTTTGTGTCGATTCAACATCTGGTATTCTTTCTGTTATCGACTCGGGATCATTTTGCTCATTTTCATTTGTAGTATTTTCCTCCACTTGCTCTTCACTAGTCTCCTCTTCTTCAAAAATTACCTCGTCATTACCTGCACGATCCAAATATCCACTATCCTGAATTTTTTGAAATATTCCTTTCACGTTTTCATACGTTGTGTCTCCATACTGTTTCGGTCGACCATCAATTGTAAGAGAGAAATGTTCAGCAGCTTTTTGAGCAGAAACCAAAAATGGTTGGTCGCTTGGTGACTCCTGGCGCTTAATTTGAATATCGAGGCAACTATTATAAAGTTAAAAGATCTTAAACCAAATTATTTTAAATTAGAAAAGTGTGCTTACAATTTCTCCATTACATTCAAATCACTTTGTTCAAGTTTTACAGCACCATTAACACCATTCAAAAAGTCATTTCGAATATTCTCATCACTAAATGCTACCAATATATTTTGAATTGTTAATACTTCTCGAATTTTAGCTGTTTCAGCTTGAGCACGAAGGATTGCTTCCTAAAATGTAAATGTTAGATGTTTTATTTTTTTTATTGTGTATCTTACTTTTCGAACTCGCTTTTTTTCTTCTTTTTCTGAAGCAATTGCAATTTGGAGCATTTGTTTAGATAAGTCTCTAGCAAACTCCAAAGATTGGGCCACTTCGTCATACTTAGCGACTGCTGCTTTTTGGTCACTGCTAAGTTCTTTTCCACTGCTTTGAATAGTCCGATAGGATTCTAACTTTGTCTATAAATCATAACATTAACAGATTGATTTTAAATAATCAAAAACCAGTTTAGTGCTTGAGATTTAAATAAGGGTGGATATATGTAGGTATTCCTTTAAAAATATATTATTGATATACATATATACACATAATTTACTTATGGTTCTGTATATATATAGGCACCTATTATTTATATAAAAATATGACAATGTATGATTAAAATAATGATTCACTTAATCCACATAAAACACTTAAGCCATTACTTTCTTTTTATTTTTTTTTTCCCTTAAAGTTGGTTATTATTTTATATTTGATTAGTAGTTTTTCCTTTCTCACATATATAAAAGTATTTAAGTCTGTCCAATGTAAAAGAAATTTTCTTTGTTAGTATGTTTACATATAATACAGTTCTCTATCTGGCTTTTCAATATGGGACGCATTGGCGTCCACCTACATATATTTTATATTCTCCTTGAGCAAACATTATAAAATTTGATTGCTAGTGTTTTTACCTAATTTTCAAAATATCTGCATATTAAATTAATTTATATTTCTAAATCAAAATTCCGATTTTTTAACTTATAATTTGAAATCTAATTAATGAAGCACATGTAAATATGGCGTCTTGCAAATAAATACATACACATTTATATACGAGCATCTCTTTGTTGTTCTCATAATTATTTTTTTTTTTAATTTCAAATTGTGTTAAATATTTTTGGAAAATCAATGAAGTAGATTCAACTTCTTAGCTTAGTTATAAAAATTTCTTTGCAAATTTAGATATTTAATTCGAATCTTCAATAACAATTTTATGGAAATCCAAGTGGAACAAAGTAGAATTTCGAAACATAATTTTAGTTTTAATGTGTATATTTAAAAATTATTCTTGGTTATAATACACAAAATATTTTTAATTATCCATTCAAATTTCCTTCTTACCTTTCGTTTTTCCAAATTACGAATTTTATGTTCGATCACAACTAATGCTTGTCGCAGCGCATTGTTATTTTCGATCGATTGTGTTAAATTTGATATTTTTTCTGGCATTTCTTAACTTAACTTGGGCAGAGCTAAACAAGGAATGAAAAAAAATCTGTTTGTGACTGCTAATTCTTTCCACATTGTTCCTTTTTTTTCTATTCTTTTGACATTTTTCAAATTTTAATTTTTGTTGACATTTAGACCGGAATGAAACAACTACATTATCTTTATGTTCTTATTGACACAATGAAAAACATTAAAAAGAGCCATTTTTTTAAGGCAATTAAAGTTTTTGAACTATATAATTCAAATTTAAGAATGTTATTTGATTTTAATTCAAAAGAAAATAATAAAATGAAATGTGAAATCACTTATCTATATATTACTCAACATGCCCATTATTGACAATATTTGTTTTTAAGCTTTAAACAGTATCCGGAAAGATGTACATTAAATGTTTCTTAAATACGCCGCAATAAATAAATCAATCAAGATGCAAAGCAGTACTTGAAGATTTGACAGTTTTTAAATTTTCTATAAGTTTTCTATAGGTTCTATAGAAAACTTATAGAAAATTTTCTATAGGTTTTGTCAAAAGCTAAACTATAAACTTTCATATTGCTAATAGAAGAACTGCTATAAACTTTCATATTTATTTCGTGCAGCTCAATTCAACTACGTTGGAGCGTATGATTTTCGAACGTATTGCAGGTTTCGAACTTTGAAGTGCATCTTTAGATCTTTAATATGTTCATAGTTTTATGTTAAAAATACCTTTCAAGAAACTGTTTTGAAATTTAACTAAAATGTTTTAGTAAAAAACAAGCCTTATTTCGTTATAAGAATTTATTTAATTTTGTAACAAATCGTACAAATTTTCACATTATATACATTCTTTATGTTTTCAAAAAATAAGTCGAGTTATCAAGTTAATCGAGTTAATATCAATAAATTATGCATTTTAAATTTATTAAATGTGCAAGTTCTTTAAAGAAATAAGTTCCCCAATTTCATGTCTATAGAAGAACAAAATTTTTCTGTCGGTTACTGAGAAATTAAACAATTTACAATATTATAATTAAACTTTGTGTTAGGCACTGTTAACATATACGGCAAAATCTAAAGATTAAATAATTTACTATAAAAATCTAACTATGAAATGTCTGACTACATCTTAGACAGCATTTATCTGATGAAGCTGCATAAGTTTCCTATGAAAATTATAACCAAAATAAGTTAGCTAGTTACCGTACAAAATTTTCGCATAAAACTGTCGCCATTAAAAAACCTAACAGTTAACCTCAATCACAAATTATATTTACAGACTCAGATCGAATTTTAAATTTTGTTGTACATACATATAACAGTTTCTTAGGTTTCGTTTTCATTACGGCGAGTAGGACAAATTTTAAAACTTAATTTACATAATCTTGTTTTGATTTATGATGTTTTCAAACATTCTAATTACATATTACGTTATACATACGTATTTGACGTTGTTTAAATAATTATTTAAGTGGAAAATATGTCAAAATTTTTTTTTCTATGAATAATTTTGAGTTATATTTGAAAAGGAAGGGGTATTTTGAATACGTTACAAAATGAACAAAAGCAAGCAAAACTTACATATAAACATATATTAAAATATTGCTTTTATTCTTTAAATTTTTTTTAACTTTTTATTCACATACAACTTTTTCTCAATTGGATGAATAAGAAACATAACAGCGTAGTTACCTCAATGTAACACAAGAAGGCGTGCAATCAATATTGTAGACTTATGAATCGTAGTATCCAAAATATTTTTATGTTGGCACACCTGATATTAGAACTTGCAAATTTCTCCATAGCTTCTCTCCATAAATGTCGCCATCTTGATAATACCGAGTACGAAATTATTGTTTGTAAGATTTTTTAAAATTGTAAAACTTATAATTAGTGCTGTTAAATTTTTGAAAAAATAGTATTAATTTATTAAATAGAAAACTGTGCAAATTTGAAAATAATTGTAACTAAGAATTTTGAAATGGAAATATAAAAATTTTGAAACATGAGGATGCAGCAGTAGACTAGATGAATAGTTTTCAGTTCCTTTTGGAAAAAAGATTTATGAAATTTGATTGTGTAAAAGTGTAAAATAGTGAATATCTGTATTTGTTCTAAGCAGACATATTCAGGATATTCGGGAAATAGTTAAAATTTTATGGAAATTTATATAATTTATATCAATGGAAAGAATAAAAGGATAAGAAAAGGTAAATTTAATATACTTTTGATTAATTATATGAGGTGGAATAACGACGGGTATAGATGTATGGAGATGGTACATATATGTAATTATTTTTTGCTTTTCGTATTTTTTTATTTTTGGTTTTTTTTTTTTGTGTTTTTTTTTGTGTTTTTTTGTTTTTTTTTTTTTTTGGGGAGAATATGCGGGGCGTCGCGCCAAAGATGGCTCGCTTTATGAATATGTACTATATACTACAAAATTATTAAGCGGGGTGTTATAGGTATTTTTTGTGCTAAAAAGGATTTTTCAGTTTTAGTAGTAAAGTAATAAATTAATTAAAAGTCTTATATTTTTAGTTAAACCATTTGATGTGAGTTTTGCAATTAATTTGTTTTTTACAAATAAGTTAATATTCTTCTTAGCAAATCAAAAAGATCAATTCGAAAACAAATATTAAAAAATTAGTCTTAAATTTTGCTTCTAAGTCAAAAATAAATTTTATTTTTCGATCATTATGTTTACAAACAATTTCCATAGGTAAACCTACCCACAATTAATTTGAGAAATTAGGTATTGGGTTATTCTATCTATTTTAAAATTTGACTTGTGTAGTGATTGGATGAAAATTTTAAGGTTATACAAATAATATTTATTAAAATTTATCTTATTTATTTTAAACTAAGGTTATTTTATTATAATTAAATTTTCTTCATCTTTTTTTAGTTTCCTTGATCTTACATCTTTATAAAATTTTTTTCTTATAAGGGTAGTATTCGTAGGAAATTGTAGTAAAAATTGTACCTACGTACCTACTTAATTTATCTAATACATATTTAACTTATTTTCGGAGAAAAAATTGTATTGTTAATTTCAAAAATTAAACTTTAAATTACTAGAAAAATATAAAATTAAGGGAAAGAATTAATTATGTAGCATAAATAATATTTTGGTAGGTAGGCAGGTCCTATTTATGCGAGCAAATTTTCAATTTTTTTACAGAATACAGTAAATTTGTGTTAAATGTAAAAGAAGTGAGAATTAACAGAAGTTCTATATATTTTTAATTTTATCAAATTTTGTACAATTTTTAAAGTGTAAATATTATTGTTTTAAAATAAACATTTAGATGTCTACTTGTTTCAAAAATAAAAACGCTCGTATTATTCGTTCAGTAAAAGTATGTTTTTAAATCACGAACAATAATGCTTTAAATCAATTATAAAAGTTATTGTTAAATAAATTGGTTGTAAGTTGATTTAAATGCATATATATGAAAATTTTCAATTGTAGATAGTTAAGTAGGTACCTATCTACCTATCTACGTAAATATCTACACACACATATGTGGCAGTAAGTATTACTGCATATTGAACTGCATAACAATATAATACGAAGTTAATAAAAAAAAAGGATGTTCTTTTTTTTTTTTTCTAGTTTGTACGAAATGTGTATAGATGCATAAATGAGGATAATAATACATATTCATAAAAATATGCATATACAAAGTAATATTTTTTCAATCTAGATATTTCAGGAGTTGATGCGTTATACATATTTTTAATAGAAAAAAATTAATTTAATTTTTCTACATAATTTTGCATTTCTATATAAACGTATTTTTTTTATTTTCTTTGTTTCAGACACTTCCGGATTACACACAAAAAAAAAATGTTTCTATAATGCATAAGTGAATATTTAATATTAGTAAGGTGTTTTAAAAAACATTATATTTTTTTCGAGTACAAGATTCACTTCTTAAGAACCTATCATATTATCAAAATAAAAAAATAAAAGTTGGGAATTTTTTAACCATAACATTAAAAATTTAATATCACCATGGATCCACAAGGACCATGGTCATATATATATAACCGAATTGCAGTTCCAACTGTAACCACAGCCAATGATTTACAACATTCGCATTTGGCAACAATATCAGCTGCCACCCAAAATCCTAGTTCATTCGTTTTACAAGCCGCTCATTCCGCTGGATTGTCGGGCTTTAATACAACTGGCGCTAGCTTTGTTACTCCAACGCAATTACCAGCTTACGACCCAAGCGTTTTAAATACATTATATCATCACGCAACAGCTGCTGCTATACCAAAGCCAGCACACTATGCTTCAACATCCTTAAATGCTACTCATAGACAAATTCAAATTACTCCTGTTGAAAAACCTGTTGAACGTACGCAGCAAACATATAGTCAACAATCATCAGGAGGGGGTTCATTTTATTCTGGAAACTCTGGAGGCTCGAGTGCTACAACTCCGGCAGCTGCGACACCATCACCAACCACCAGTGTTGTAACAACACCAACATTATCTTGGCAAGGTCAAAGTGTTAACACTTTTGGGATTTTGCCTCATAATAACAAAACAAACAGTTACCAGGATAATTATGGCAGTTACTCCACCCAAGATAATCGTTCGGAATCACCAGACGAATCATCTAATTCTGCCGAAAATCAATATTATCGGCAAGCAACAAATTATAATGATACTAGTTTTAATACAAATAAGTCAGCATTTACACCGACTCAACAGCAACAACAACAACAACAAACTCAACAACAGCAACAATGCGCCATTGATGCTAGAACTTCAGTTGCAAAAAAGCAAAATCTTTATAATAAATCGAGAAGTGGTAATCAACAACAGTCTCAAACTCAGGCACAGTCTCAACAACAGACACAACAAGCACAACAGCATCAAATACAGCAACAAGCTTTGCAATTAGTTCAAACTAAAGCTCAAACTAAAGCTTATGCTGAACAACAATCGGAAGACAGTTCAACGCTTGGGTTTTATGCAATTGTTGATGGAAAATTGGTATATACAACCCAGGGCAGCAATCCAACCAATTTAGCTTCGAAAACTAACACAATCGTTGTACCTCAACGAAAGCAACCAAGTCCTCCACAACCGCAGCAACAACAGCAGCAACAACAACAACAGCAGCAGCAACAGCAACAGAGTCCATACTATGAAAGTTCATCAATGCAATCTTTAGGCTCACCTAACACTCAAGGAAATCAATCGAATAATGCTAGCAATATGAACAATTCTGCTGTTGCTTACTCATCTGTGATACAACGAGCTCTTCAACAGCAACAACAAAATAATTGGGGTCAACAGCCACAAATTGGGGCCTTACATAACTTAGCTGCTGTCGCTAAAGCTACACAAGAACATCTTCAACAACAACAGCAACAACAACAACAACCGACCGCTCAACAACAACAAACGCAAAATCAACAACAACAAGTAACAGAAAAGTATGTTGTTACAGCTCAAAATCCATTAACAGCGCAACTGCAACATCAACAAAAGGTTAATTTTTTCCCTTGATTTACTATATTGTATTAAGTTAATCTAACACAACACTTGGGATTCCATTATAACAAAGAGAGAACTTTCAAAAATAAATTTCGGCTAAAATTCAGAAGCTCGGGAAATCCATGTAAATAAATATACACTGGTTTCTAGACATTTTCCTTATGTTCGGATTTTTTTTCTTTTCTTATGAAATTGAAGAAATTTTAAACTAGTAAATATTCTTAATCCAAATTTGAATAAAGAATTCATAGAAACTATTGCTTTGAAGCTCTTGTTACCTATACATACAGTATATTCCGTAAATGTTCAGTCAGCTTAAAATATAAAAGTATAAATTAGTATACATATATTTACATATATTTATATTACAAAATATTGGAATATATTGCACCAGAATATTTAACTTCTACAAAAATCATGTGTCAATTGAAAATATCATGTAGGCGCGTAACTATTACGGCTTGAAATTAAAAGCTTTTGCAACAGTTTTCGAATTTGAAATTTTGCGAATAATAATAGCACTCTCTTTTTATAGAGGGAAAACAAACAGGTTTTGAACCAAATTTGTGACATTTATATTAAAATCTATTTTCAGATCGAGTCGCCTCCACCTAAAAAGCAGCCTGCAAAAAGGGCTCCGAGAAAAAAGAAAGATCCAAAACGCGAGGAAAGTTACGAAGATGAATATGTAGGAAATCAGCGACATCAATTGCAGCAGCAAACGCAACAACCTTCGCAAACTCAGCAGCAAACAAATGGAAACACGTATTATGATTTAAATAATAGATGGAATGTCCAACAAGGTAGTGCATCGTCAAATCAACAGCAAACACAACAACAGCAACAACAACAACAGCAACAACAACAACAGCAACAACAGCAGCAGCAACAGCAACCACAACAACAGCAAAATATAAATATACCTAATCCAGCTACACAATTTCCTTATTATCCATCAGCCTTCCCACAACAGCAAATTCCTTTGTCTTATTCTAACATAAATCAGTCAAATGTGTATCATCAACAAACACAACAACAACCACAACCTCAACAGCAACAACAGCCACAACAACAATCACAGCAACCACAACAGCAGACACAACCGGCGCAATCACAGCAACAAACACAACCCCAGCAACAAACGCAACCACCGCAACCGCAACAACAACCGCAACCTCAACAGCATCAGTCTCAAACACCAACTCCTTCAGTGGCATCTCAACCAACAGCGCAGCAACCTCAATCCAATCAATCAGCACTGGATCAGATCGTGGAGCAAGAAAAAAGAGAAAAAGTTATTGTCCCCAATATTGAGGAAGAATTGGAACATCTTACTCCCGGTGCGGCGCTGAAACCGTATGGTACATCTACGCAAAATCCAAGTGCAGCCGCAATTAATAAAGTTACAGTCGTTAATAATATTACTCTTAAAAAGCCTGAGGAAATAAAATCAACTCCTCCGCCTACTCCACAAACAAATTCTTCATTTCCTCCAATAAAAAAACCAACAGGTCCCGGGGCTGGTTTTATGGAAAGTTATTTAAAATTTTTGCAAGGTAATTTCAACTTTTGTTTTTTTTATATATATATATATTTTTGAGCTAAAATTAAGGCAAATTTTTTTTAGGGGGCGAAAGGGAAGATTCACCTCCACCGATTACAACTCGTCACAGACGCCAACCAACATCATATCAGCGTAATGCAGTCAATAAAGTAACCAATACTACAACTAATTCAACAAACCCAACAATAACACCAGCAACACAAGCTTGTGCTGGCGCTGGTAATCAACTAAATAAAGTAACGTCAACTGTTGGTACAAATAATAGTGATAGTCCAGTTAAAAGAAAAGCTGAAGATGAAGAAAATCAGTCGCAACAGTCACAGGCGCAACAACAAGTTCCTACTAGCCCATTAACGGTGCCTAAAAAAAGGCCTCAAATGCAAATGCAAATGGCCGCCGCAGCAGCTGCTTCCACAACATCAACGACAATACCACCACAACAAAATAATATTAGCAATTCAACGTTTGGTAATAATCAATTTCAATATAATCATCATACGATCCAACAACAACAAACTACTGCTGGACACAATAGCACGAGTACTGTTGGCAGCGCTAGCGGTAATACCTCCGCTGGAAATACTCTTGGACAACAACAAAATATGGGAGCTACTGGACAACATTCACAGTTCCCCCAAACTCCAGAAGAAGGTTCGTTCTTTTATCATCAATTATTTCCGCAACAATATCGGAATTGGTGATATTTGAGTTATTTTTAGGTTTTATAATCAATTTTTTCAAAATAAATTGTAACATTTTGCAGAAGGACAATTAATTTATATTTATGTATATATATATATATAACATTTATATATATGCATATATATATAACATAAATACAAAGTCAAAGACAAACAAAAAAAAAAAAATCAAAAAAAAAATTAACAAAAAAAAAGAAAAATACAAAAAAAATATCAACGCCATACACTCATTTATATTTGCTATTAAAAGAAACAAAAATTTAAGTTTTTGGAATCATAGTTAGATTCTAACATTAGATTTGTTTTTAAATATAATTTTCTAATTTGAAACTAAGGGTTGTTATAATTAATATGTATATTTTTGTTTAATCTTAAAACTCTTATTGAATTTTAATATTCAACAAATTATTTTATATAGACCAGGGGAGGGTGATTTTGTAAATATATATGAGATTTAAGCTGAGCAGTGGCTAATTATAATTAATATTTAATTAAATACATGTTTAAGAAATTACGTTCGAAATTTTACTTGAAAATCAAGTATTATGAAAGAGTAAATTGTTATAAGAGAATTGGTATTTTTAAAATTTAGTGGATTAAAAAGCACATACGTAAAACTTAAATAAATTTAATATTTACGGGAATTCTCATTTTTAAATTACATTAACTTGTAAATTAATTCAGTTTGTAATAATTTGTTTAAGATAACCAAAAGTTATGTTGCATCATATTTGTTTACGATAATTATTTCATTTTATAAAAGTTTCAATTACAATAACCCAGGCCAATTAAAATAGATAAAAAATATTAATTTTTCATAAATTCTAAAATAATATTTACTTAAAAAAATAACTAGCATTAAAATCATAATCTTACACAAATTTTATAATATTAACATAACTTGCGTTAATGAAAAAATGAAAAATTGAACTTATTATTTTTTTTAATAAAATTTATTATTGCAATAGTCCTTAATGTTAGAAAATATATTCAAAAACAATTTTCTATGATCTGGTTGATTTATTTTTTTTTTTTTAGAATATAATTTAAAACTTACTTTTTTTATTGAATTAACTGTAGTTGTTTTAATTATATTAAAAGCTCTCTTGTATTAAAAAATTTATTGAAATTTTATATTTTAATTTATACCGTTACTCATTTTTTAATTTATTAATAATTTATGTATTCTTAATTTTAGTTTCTATATTTTTTTTCCAATTTTCAATTTGATTTTCGAAATTTGACTTTAAGCTTGCTTATAAATAACATTTTATTGCTATAGATTTATTACATATAAGAGAGCCCTGTAACAGATTTCCTGAAAGTAACAGATATTCAAGCAAGCACATTTAAATTTTTATTATCAAAAATTTTTATTTTAGCACCCTTTTTTGTTCTTAAATATATAAAAGTCCCAGAAATTTAGGTAATTGAGAAAATAGAGAAATCAATTTCACATTTTTTTTTTATTATCGATATATTAATTCTTCCCGAAAATAATTATAGATTATTATTTTAATTTGGGGCTTTTTAAGTAAAATATTTAGAAGAATAATAAAACAAGTAATTTTATTATTGTATGTTATGAAATTTAATTACATATATAAAATTCTACTGAATACTTTCATAGTGCATACTGTGGAACATTGAAATGAAATTTAATCTCAATAGCAATATTTATTTTGTTGAGTTGAATTGCAATTTATTTTTATTTTATTCTTTAATTATTAAACAAGGAATGTTTGGATACTTGTAAAAAGCAATTTGCTACTGGGACAAAAAATAAATATATATATATATATATTTATAAATTAAACATGAAAGAAAATTTAGCTTATCAACTAAAAATACAAGAAATGTAATTTTAATAATTATGTACGCATGTATATTTAATAAATATATATATGCATAAAATGATAATAATAAATTTAGCTTGTAAGAAAACAAAATGTAAAAGTATTTTAGATATACATAATTATAAATATTACTTATATATTGAAAATTTGAGATAGGATGAACATAATTACCACATTCAGACCTAAAATGTGAAAAAAATCTATATAGAATGTAGATATTACGAAAAAATCTATATAAATAAAATAGTAATAAAAATATTTTAAGATTAATGTATTTACATGTTTTTAATTTTTACTTTTAATTTTCATTATATCCTTTATTATATTTTTACTAACATTCAGTCATAAAAAAATTTCAATGCAATAAGAAATAAAAATTGTAAATATAAAAATTTAATCAAAATACAAAAAGTTAAAATACATTTTTAGAAATTAATATAAAACAGAAAAAAGAGAAAGAATCAACAGAGATATATATTTTTAATCGAAAACTGTTTTAGATTTGTGTAAATTAATATCTATTTATTTTTTTTTGCTTAAACATTTTTAATTTATTTGCATTTTTCCAATGGTGACAATAGATATTTGAATAACAAATTAATAGTGAAAAATTAAAATAAATGTTATTCATAAAATAACATAAGTGAATTCATGTTCAATTCAAGTAAAAATATATTAAAAGCAAGGGTACAATAACAAATTATAGAAATTCAAAAACTGAAATAGTCCCATGTTTTGCTAATGAATAAAAAAAAAAAATAGATAAATAAAATAAGGAAAAAACGGAAAAACACATAATAATTCTAGCAATTTTTTTAAAATTTTTTTTAACAAAATAATTTATGGTATGATAAATTATTGGTCAACTGGAACACATACCATTTGATTTTATTTCAATATATTCGTAATTTATTTTACTTCATTAAATTTAAAATTTAAAGTGAATCTCATATCTTATTTCAAAACTTTTAAATATTTTGTGTGTATTTATTATTAACAATTTTCACTACATTAAATCAAACAAAATTACAGAAAATCGTAAAACACACAAAAAATTGGTTCAGTTGAATACCTTAAGGTATTGATAATTGCTAAACGTAGCGTTAAAAAAAACATACAGACTTTGTTGATACAATCAATTTTTAAAAAAAAATTTGATATTATTTAACATTAAGGCATAAAAGAACTTTTGTTTTTTAATTTAATAAATTTCTTAAAACAAAAGACTTAAATTGTAAAATTATATCTTCACTTTATTAAACCTTTTATAAAATTTAACAATCGAGAGTTCGAAAAGTTTAATCTAACACAAGAAGCAAAACTTTATGCAAAATAATTAATATTTTGTAAAAATAAAGGATATTTATATGTTAATTTATTTTTTATTGCTTTAAAAATTTCCAAAAGATGATCAATATTTTTGGCAATTCAACACCGCATTTAAGATTTTAATTTTGTTTTGCTTATTTCCAAATTTTTAACTTTCAACTTATCCTCTGGTAGATGTAGATAAAATGAAATTAATATTTAACTTTATTTCTTATTTTTTTTTTTTTTTTTTGTAAACAGAATTTTTCAAGTTATAGTTAAGAATAAATATTTTTTTAAAAATCAATTTAAAGTTTTTGTGCTAAAGAAAGAAAATATCGAAATTATAATTTTAAATTAACACAATAAAATATACGAATTAAAAATTTCACATACTTAAGCACATTCAAAATATATTTTGAGTCAAATTGTGTATATACTACAAAGTAAATATATTTTTAAAATGATTACTTTATTTTGAAATTAAAAATATTGAATTAAGTATAATAAACATCAGAAAGAAAATATATTTTTTAAAAGTGCTTGCTTTTTATAAATAGCGAAATCCATAATAAATAAATTTATTTTAAATAGTTAATTATTTAATATTTTAAATATATTCATTTTTAGTTTTGTTCCCATTATGTATTTGATAATCAAAATAAGTTTAAATTAATAAATATGAAGCTCTCAGTTTTATTAATATAAATAGAATATGAAAAAAGTGGTGCGTAACTAATAATATTTCATATGCATAGGAATAATATAAATAAAATATAACAGAATGAAAGAAAATGTAATAAAAGAACTAAAATTCAAGTCGATATAAATTTAAAATGTATTTTTAATGAATGAAATTAAAATTACGAATAAATAAAATTAAATTGTTATTAAATTTATAATTTTATTCTCTTTTTTTTTTTATTTCCTCTTATGAGTTTCTTAAAAAGTATACCTATGAAAATATAATTATGTACGATTTTTTAGTTAAAGTATATATTATGGTAAATTACCTATTTAATGAATATATTTAAATTCTTGCAATTTGTGAATTGATTTTTTCCACACGTATTAAAATATGCTTATGTTCTAGATTATATAATAGGCATATTTACATTAGTATATATTTTAACTGTAATATGGAATAAATACAATATGTTATGTATAAAAAATTATAGTAACCTAAGTGTAAATTTACTTTATATTTTTATTATTAGTTATTAAATTACACACAAACATTAGGACTAAAAAATTATATGATAATAAAATAAAAAAAAAAAAACATAAAAAAAAACAAAAATTTGAAATAAATTTTTATTTTCCAAAATGAAAATGAAAAATAAAAATGAAAATATTTAGAGAAAAAAATAATCTTTTTTTTTTGTTATTTAAAATTAAAATATTTCCCAGTAGCAATTTGTAGATTTTATAGAAAACAGAAAAATTATTTTAAATAATTTTCAATATATTAATAAAAATTCATAAGTCTCTATACACAATGCAAAAATTGATAATACAAGAATTTTGATAATAAACTTAAAATGTAAGAATAGATTAATTCAAGTATAGCTTTTATTTTTATTTAAAATATGTATCCGTATACAAAAAAAGAGGGATACGGAATATCAATAAAATATTTTTAATTTGTAAATTATATGTATTAATTTTATATATATTATTTTTTAAATATTTTCTTATAAATTTGCTAACATTTTGTGTATGGAGATTTTAGTTTAAATAATTTTAGTATATTTTCTTTATTATTTTATAGTTTTTTTTTTATTTGTTGTGGGATTAACTTTCATTAAAAAAAACACGGTTGAATTTTTTTTTGTAAAAAAAAATAAATAGAAATTAATCAGCTTAAAAAAATTGAAAAGTAAGCAAGATTTGCAAATTGCTACTGATTGGATATTAGATTTGTTTTTACTTTACAGCGAATTAACATAGAAAATAGAAATATTTTTATATTGGCCGAAAAATCAAAAATTTACTTCAGTTTTCTTTAGCACCTTCTAACTTTGTTCATCATCACATTGAAAATATTTTTAGATTGCGCTATTCTTCGATTTTGTACAGATAAAAATTATCTTGTATGCTTCTACTAAATGGTTTTAGAAACTTCTTTAAAAAAAAAAATGCCGAATCTCAGCATAAGTTTTAAAATGAAAAAGTAAAGGACAAAATATTTTTTGATAAATTTATTTTTTTCTTAAGTTTATAATGTATTTTTAATTAAAATTCGCACGTTTTTATGTATATATACAGTTAATTTGGATCCATTAAATTTGCCACCGATGAGAGAAGCTCCCCTACGTCAAGCAAAAACAAGGGGGTCGGGTAAAATACAGCAAATCATTCAGGGACCGTCCGACGAAGTAGAAGACTTACCAGAGTTTGGAGACTCTGATACAGATCCTGTATGGACTCCAGATGATGCCGATGTAAATTAATTTTAAAATGTTGTAAAGTTTATATCAATTTCAAATTTTTATAGAGTGACGGTGGCCAAAGAGGTGGTAATAAGAGAAAAACTTCAAGACGAGCAAAAGTTTTTTCAAAATCTCCACGTCAAAGAGTTTTAACACAACAGATGATTCAAGATGATGGTGATATGTCTATGACAGACATAACTTCAAATAATGATCCGCATATAATGATACAATCTCAGGAACAGCAGCAACCTCAGCTACATTTAATGGAAACACAACAACAACAGCAGCAAAATTTGCTCATTAATTCGCAACACCATCAACAACAACATCAACTACAGTTACATCAAAATCAATTACAACATCAACAACTAAATTTGCATGAAATCCCATCAATTAGTGCAATGTCTTCTAATCATTCCAGTGATTTTAATGTAAATTTTGTTTTACATGTCAAAAAAATATTCACATACTTATACTTTTTTCAAACTTTTTAGATCGGTGATTTTGTGGTTTTACGATCGAATTTATTTCAAGATTGGCCACCTATATGGCAAGTTGATTCAAAATCTGTTTTACAAAAATTTGAACCATTTTTCCAAAACGGAAAAATGCTTTATAAGAACATGTGCAAAGTAAGTAATTTTAAATATAGATCTTTAAATTTTGGTTAATTTGTTTTTTTTTTTTTGTCATTTTAAACTTTTTGTAATAGTATAATGGTTTAAATAGCGAGTCTAAGAAACTCTATGTAAAGGCCCCAGTGAAAGTGCGTATGCAAAATGGTACTCAAAAAATTGTAGAATTTATGCGATCAGAAATGGTCATAGATGATTCAGAACAATATATTGAAAAAATAATGAAAGATTACATGTGTCATAAGGACAACTTTGAAGTATACGTTCAAACAATGATATCGCAGGCTTTAGATCCTAGCTTTTTTGGTGTTATATTAAAAGAAAATGGTAAAGTACTTAATTGTTTACAAAAACAAAGTATGCATTTAATTTTTTTTTAGATGAATACTTTCTTTCAAGTATAAAATTAATCGATGCAATATTAGAAAATTCTAAAAAGAAATTAATATCCATAACACCATGGAATAGAAGTATTGTCGCTTCAATAGAGACTTGGCCTAATGCAAATACCTTTACGGAAGTGGACGATCAAATAAAGAATGTGAGAGATTGTGCTGGCTGCCACCAATTTGGTATATCGGACCGCTTTGTGCTATATGGCCAACCATATGATTTCGGTACATTGGAAGCTGTACAAGTTGATTCAAGAATGTGTAGTGAAAAAGTATGTTCAATTTTTTCTAAATGCAGCTATAGCACCTTTTGAATTTTATAAATAATATAAACATTTTTATTCTCTCAAGGATTTATATTTTTGTCGAATATGTGCTGCCAGAGCGACATTATTACATAAAATTGCTCATGCCAAGTATAAATTGTTTGTTATGTGCTCAGAGAAAGTTTCAGAAATGCAAACGATGGATCCAACAAAGCCGTCAACTGGTATTTTAAATGATCTGCTGGCAGACAATCATTGGTTAGATAAAGTAAGTAGTGAATTGTTTTATAATTACACTTCCAAATTTTTAATTATTTTACAAAATTTTAGTTATTTTACAATATACGAAATTCATGGGCTGAAGTAGACAGTTTGGAACGACAGAAACGTTTTAATTAAACAAAAAAATTAAAAATAATTTCGTTTTAATAAATTGTTAATATTAAGAATATTTTTTACTTAAGTGCGAATTGTAATTTTAGTTTACACATATTACATTTGCTGATAGGAAAATCAAAAATTTTATTTTTATGTTTTTCAATTTAAAATTTTATTACATTTTTTTTTTTTTTGAATTCCAATTAACAAAATTTGAACTGTTTAAATTTAAATGTGAGTATAATATAAAGTTAATCACAAGTAAAAAGTTACTTACTAAATGAAATTAGAAAAATAATAATTTTACAAGGTAAAATACAACGTAATTCTTACTACATAGTATGGAAAAAAATAAATAATTTTGAGAATAATTTAAAGTTTGCTTAATAATTATCGAAACAAAATTATAAAATATATTAAATTAAACAAAAAAATTATTAAAAAAATAATTGTAATATTAATAGGATCGATTTGTGCAAAGTAATATAATTGAACTCTTATTTAGTTTAAATATAAATACTAAATAAACACAAACAAAAAAGAATTAATGAGTCTATTATAAATGGTATGTTAATAAACAAATGAGTGTTTATCAACTTTTAGAAAAATTTTACTGATATTGAAAGCTGGTGAGCTTTAGGAAACCCGTGGAATTTGAATTTGCAACACGTGATAACTGAAGTGGTTTTAAATTTTGAAATTTTAAATTCAATTCCTTCGTTTCAATTGATTGTTGCTGCATAGAAAAAATTTGTTTAACTCAAAAATATTAACAACTTTCTTCTTATATTCAAATTTCTTTTATTTAAATTGCAAATTAAATTAACAATATATTATATAATATTGAAAAATTTTAAAAATGTTCTATCTAATTCTAAAATTTTTGTTAAAAATAAATAAAAAAACAATTCTCTGCCCAATATTAACAAAAAAATTTATTTAAAAAAACAATCCAATAAGCCTCGTGGCTAGTATGTTAAAAATTGTATACTTAGCTACTTGTTATTAGCAGAACATAATTCTATTAGCATACATGATTTTACAGCAAAAATTGCAGCAAGTCTCCAAACTTTGGAAGGTAAGCGTCAGGGATCAATTTATGTGTTTCTTCATCATTTGACTTTTTATAACAGCTTACATCGTCAAGGTTATGTATTCCTGTGCCAACCAAAAGAGTTTGAAAACCGCAATTATTACCAAAAAGTATGTCAGTATTACACCTAACGAAAAATGTATTTTTGTTGTTAACTTAATATTAAAGAGTGAATATAATAACATTCACCTATCTCCAACCATTAACGTTCTTTCCGGAGTAATTTTTCCATCTACTAATAATGGTTCACACATATTAGCATTAGGTTTTCCCATCACGACGGCACTTCTTTCAGCACATGTTTCAATAGCCTTTACAATGCTTCCAGTACCAGGTACGACGAAATTCGGCATTGGAAATCTTTCATCTGTATTCGTTGCAATAAATATGGAATTTGGTTTACTTAAGTAAGATGCTGCTCTTGTCATTTTTGGGAAACTAAAATATTCATCAAATCCAACTATTACTGCACCTACTTCATCATCCTGTTCAAATTTGTTATTTAAAAAATTTGCTAAATTTGTTTCTAGATAATCTGGGCCAACTCCTGTATGTTTAATACCAACAGCATCCAGTTCTTTTGTTATACCAGTTGACCCTATAACGTAGACTTTTTTATTAAAATTACGATTTTTAAGATACTGTGCGGCTGTATAAGCTGTGGATAGTATTTCATCCTGAAAAAAAGTTGTTAAAATTTCAGAATGAATTTGTAAAATACGGCGTATTCATACTTCTTTCATGTTAAATCCCATTCGAATTGCTTTTTCAAGGAATTCCGGTCGTGTTTTTGTTGAATTATTTGTTGCAAAATACACTCCTTTTCCAATTTGTTTTAACCGATTAACTACTTTTACGCTTCCTTCAATCTCCTTATCATAAAGCCATAATACTCCTAAAATTCAAGTTAAATACATGTTAATATAAAATTAAAAATAATACATATGTAGTTCAATTTTTGGCTCATACAAACCATCACAGTCACATAAAACGTTATCTATAAATAAAGATTTCAATATAATTAATTCTTCTTTAATATTATTAATTTTATACCAAATGTTGATATCCAGCTTTTTGCTTTTTCTGGATGTTCTAAAAGATTTAACGCCTGCCTTTTGAACATTGTCCTTTGTATTGTATGATGAAATAGTATTAAAATTTCTGGATTGCAATAGTGACTCAATTTTTGTTTAAAGCCTTTCTTACTTTCTTACTGTTTACAATATTTTTATTTTAAGTGCCATTATAGTAAATTTGACTACGAAAACTGACTTTATTTACTGTTGACAATTTTTATTGTATTGCATGATTAACGCATTGAAACTTCTTTTGATTCCCAATTTTCTAAATTAGAATATCAAACGGAAATGTCAAGGTTACAAGTTAGATTATGGGCTGATCTCATTCAACGTCGGTTCACTAATTGTGGAAAGTTATAAAATAATCTGTCATTATTAATTTGATTTTTGATGCATCAAAATTACAGGTGATTACATTTTGAAACAGAGAAAAATGCCAATTTGTTTTTTTTGGAGGATACGTCGTATATTTCAAATAATGTAGACTTTTTTCATGTAGAATTTTTTAAATCCGTTTTCGCCTGTATAAATTTGAATTCGCCCTTTTCTATTATGATAATGCATAATGAAAAATTAATTTTTTTTTTATAATCTTCAACCTTTAATCAATCGCTAAAAGATATGTCAAGAAATGCTTGATAAATTTTTTAAATCATAAATGTTGATGCATTTGCTTATTTAAGCGATTACTATTCATTGACTAACAGGCGACTGATTTTTTTATATGATTGTTAGACTTTTTCAAATGTGATATTTTTGGTCGTGTTTTGATTATTATATAGATTTATTTTAAATTATTTGGGAACGTGCTAAGCGAATAAAGTGAAAATGAGAGATGTTCTATTATTTTTCTTATATATATGTAGATAGTTCGTAACTTTTGTCCATAATTCAAACTTTATTTAAGGGTTAAGTGTATATATAATGTCAAAATCTAAATTGACAAAATTGATTAATATAAACAAATTTCAAGGTACATATGTCTGTATCAATGAAGTATAGCTGACACAAATGATATTTGTGTTATGTCAAGGTTTTGACACAAATTAAAATTAATAAAGCCAATAAGTTAACGTTATTTTACGGCGAATAACGTAACAATGAATGACACATTATTTTCGTTAATTTGAATTTAATTAAACGGCACAAGAAACTTCATCGCAGACGATGTTACTTGTTGTTTTTATCCAGTTTGTTTTAGCAAGCTCCATAAGTAAAATATTTAGCTTGAGAGACGAATAGATATCTTGTTATACATATATTCGGTCCAATGCAGATGTGATCCATTTCGGTTTTTTGGAGCTAATAACACTTTCGTGGGTTTTGGAAGACTACCTTTCAGAATATGTAACCCGTTTTTCTCTCTCTTTTGATAACTGAATTATAGAGTTGTAACTTTAATCCATATCCGTAATTAGTACAAAAATTTAATCCATTTTGATCCATATCCAAAACCGATAGCATTTTGGTCCAAATCCAAAACCGATGGCATTTTGGTCCAAATCCGAAACTGATTGTATATGGATCAAAATGCCTAACATTTTTCCGAAAAAATTTCTAATTCTTAAATAACCCATATCCCTGGTCTTAATACATAGACCGCGTTTAGAAAATTAATATATTGATTATGCCATATTGATCCCGATCCATATAATTGGCAATGTATTTACACATTTTTGTTTAGCAATGTATTTATTGATATAATGTAAGTAGTTTGCGCTGGACTGAAATAATATAAACATGTCATAACTTATGTACAAATGTAAGAAAAAATTTAATGTAGGTATACATTATATTTTTGTATATAAGTAATGGGCGGGGATATCATGATATGGCACTTGATACCTCCAGAACGCGGTAGGTATTCGTCATTCCTGCAATTAATTAGAAATAATATACAAAATAATTATGCACATTTTTTATATTTAAAATTAAAATTTATGAGTTATTAAATTCAAAGTTGTTAAGTATTCAATTTACAATTTTTTTTTTTAATATAGTAGTTGTTAAACGTACATACATACATACACATAATTTATGTAATAAAAACAAAAAAAAAACAAAATTATACTATAAAATGTTTTTTAAATAATTTCTACGTTTTATAAATTATAATTAACGTATTTTGTGCTTATTTTAATCACAATTTTTTTTTTTAAATGTGCACTTATAAAACACGAATAGTTCTTATTTTTAACACAACTTATTTCAATTTTGTGAATCCGTACATATACATATACATATTTAATGGAATATATTCAACAAATTAAAGTCTGACAAATAATTTTGATACATATTAGAAATTTCAGTTTTTGTTTAGAGAAACTTGTTCCCGCAAAATGATTCATACTTTGTGACATGATCATATAGCATATGACAATTGAAAATCAAGTGTAGCAATCAAAATTTGCATATTTTATTATGTTTATACGAGTTTATGAGTTCCGTAAATGTACAACAAACCTTTTTGTTTGTAATAGCTAAAAACGATAATTACTTTTATGGATGCGTATGTATCATCAGAGATTCCTATCACTTCCTCTTTTTCTGAATAAGTTCGTACAAAAGATAAGTGTTCAAATCTTACACTTGAATTCTAATTGATTTCAAAAGCTCCGATTGTTTTGAGAACATAGTGTCGCCAGCATATTTAATTTGTGGATATTAGATTTTTTATTTTTTTTTTAGAATGCTTTTTAACATGCTGCAACTGAAAATTTAAAATCACAATTTATGATTCGATCTGTAAAGGTATTTTTTAATTTAAAACAACCACCGTAGTTTTTTAAAAAAAAAATTATTATTTAATACCTTAAACTCTTTTTTAAAAATCTAAGGGGAAAACTATATGGCAAGCTTCGAATTTTAAATTTTTTAATTAATGTTCGAAATTAAAATTAAAAATTAAACAAGTTTAAAATTACAATTTAAAATAATCTACTTACAATATTATGACTACATGTATACATGAGAATCTTTTTAGATCTAGAAATCCTTCAAGTTTACTTAGTTTATCTAATTGTTTCAGAATTATTATTTTATAGTTTTACCCATACAAATATCGTAAAATTAAAATAAAGAATAAAAGGTACAATGCAACAACTTTAAAAATAAAATAAAATGATCACTAAAATTCGGCAAGAATGTTAATTATATAAGGTCAGTTGCAAATATAATATCAAAGAACTTCGTCAACATGTTTTTCTAAAGAAATAATGTAATTAAAAAAAATTTAAAATCGGAATTGAATTGCATTTAAACATGGTTATTGGCTATTATTAATAAAATAAATCGTTAAAAGAGTCGCAATTACATAATAATTTGTTACTTTATAATTACACGGTTTTACAATAGTGATGAATTTGTAAATACATATATGTATGTTGTGCTATAATTATTTTAACATTACGATTTTTTTTTTTAATAATTCTTAACTTAATTTCAATAATTACATAATTATTTGATGTTAAAAGAATTAAAAATTAAGTATTGAATATAGATAAAGTTTTCAATTTAGAATTTTTATTTTTTTTTTCATAACGAATCTTTTACCATCTTTGGAATTTTACTTAGAAAATTATTTTGAATTTAAGCTTTAAATCACTCTAGGTATTTAATATTATAAATTAATATTAATTGCCAGTTTTAATATCATTTGGATGACTAAATTTATGTTTTTTTTTTTTTGGTATTAATAACTTATAATAGCAGAGTATTTTCAAATTTTAAAAATTATCTATATATATATAAAATATATTATCATTTCTTTTAAATTTAACATTGCTTTAAATATCCTATACATTCTCTTTTACAATCAATTCATACATATAAGTTTATTATTTTTAATTTATGATTTTTAAATTCAAAAATAAATTATTCTCTTTTTGGCTTCTTGTTTTATAATTTCTTACATTAATTGATTTTAATCAAATTGTTGAAGATTTGTTATTATAATCTTCCAGATACTTATACTTTCAAGTTTTGTGTAATAATATCACAAAAAATATATTTAAATTTGGGCAAAAATCTTACATTATATTCTTACAATGTGTGCTTATTCAAAGATTATAATATACAATACATAGTACCTAAATAGTATACATATAATATACTTTCAGAATGTCCTTAATAAATTATGTATGTATTTTAAAATAAAAATTTTATCATTGTTCTACATTATTGCACTCAATTTTGAAACGAATGGTACATGTATATTTTAACTTTAAATTAATATGAAATTAATATAGTCAATTAGATGCATATTAATATTTTCTTGGTGAAATTTAATTACAACACACATCATATATGAATAATAAATGTATAATAATATTGATTTAACATTGCGATGGTATTCCTTGCGTTATAGAATTTTCTAAAACTATATGGAATTCATCTAAAGGTTCAAGTATTTGTATTAAAAATGTTAAAAGTCCGCGACGTCTTAAAAAACTTTGTTCCTCATATAATTCTTGTGTTACTTTAGTGGCAGCCATAGGTGATAACATTCGGTGTAAAATGTGTTCTCTAAAATTAAATATTTTTTAAACTTGAATATGCAATGATAAATTTATAAGGTATTTTAAAATTACCTTAAACATAAGCACATAAATAATTGAAATTTTCCATCTTTTCCTAAGGAATTAGTTACAGAATTTATTTCATCTATCAAATAAACAAAGCATCTCCAAACAGATATCCATTCATGACGTTGTGCCGACGTCATATTTGGAAGATATGGCGAATCATTTGAAACACTTGTAAATGAGGTAAATATTGAAGGAGATTCATTTCCACTACGTTGATTTTGTGAGTCGAAATTTTCAAAATTTAAATTTATCTCAAATTGTTCCTTTACTTTAGCTAAAAGTGTTAAAATGAAATGAATGCAAATTATTAACAAATTGCAAAATATTTTTGACGCAAATGTTACGAAAAATTTTAATATTTATGTTATTGATATCTTACCAAAATAATCCCATAGAAATAAATTTTTTCCGAAAAATCTGGTTGAACGAAAACCACAAAGAAACACATGCTCCAAACATTTTACTAAACCATCTTCTCCACATAGTAAATTAGTGAGGGATCCAACATCACGATCTTTACTTGGCTTATAGTGCCATTTTACAATTGTATTCACACAATCACCAATCATATTTTGTATTTCTGATGGCCTTAATTCAGTCCTTTGTATGCTTGGACTTCTGGCTCTTGGCGGTGTCTGACAAACCTGAACTAATTCTTCAGTATCCACAGTTTTTGGCACACGTTGTCCAACCAGAAGACGTTCAGAAGAACCGTCATCAATGCCTTTACCAAGCCAACGACCACATGGAAACCTTAAAATAAATCAAATTAAATTTACACACATACATACAAAATACTTTTTATATAATTTACAAAACTTACTTATAAGTATGCTCAGTAACTTCGTTTCTAACTACAACATGCTCCACCATCCATTTATTAATAGGACCATAATTGTCATGTCCGATTCTCATTGTTGTAAGAAGTCCTAAATTTTTATGCTAAAATTGAAATTAACTTGTTGTTATATAGGAAATATTAATAATAAACAAATCGGTTTATATTTACATGGAAAACAAATTCAAGAGTTCCTTTTGGCACTGGTATTTGTTTTGTTTCACATAAAGCTCCCGAAATAGCTATCCAAACATTACTTGAAGTTTGAGCGTTACCGTGTTTTTTTGATGGAAATATAATAATACGGTAAGGTAATTCTATAAAATTAAATAAATATTATATTTTTTTTTGTATCAAAAAAATTCTAGTATAGTTGTATAATTCTTACTTGTTGTAGGGTAAATATTTGTAAAACAGTAATAATCTACGGTATTGAGAGTTAAAATATGATAAAGAAATTGTTCTTTCTCTTCTTCGCATCGCAAAAATGCTGATCGTTTATAAAGTAGTCTTAATAAGCCCTGGTCTGATAATAGTGTACGAAAATGTCTTGACAATAACTTCTTTTCTAAAGATAATCTTATCCAAGCTCTAGTGTATCCAATTGGAGTTCTAATATCAGTCATGGCCAAAACATTTCTGAAATATTTTGAAGAATATAAAGAAATAAAAAACGAAAATATTAAAAGTAAACTTACCTAAAATCAAATTCTATAGATTCTGGAAGAGGACGAAGTTGTTCCAAGGAAACAATACTACCTATACGGTCACGCAATCGACCACGTGTTGGACTTGCTGGAGATTCTGGTTCAATTTTGAAAGTAGAACGGTCTAAAAAAAGTAATCAGAAGAAATCTCACTATTTTATAAATTGTGAATCATAAATTAGCTACGCAATAAACGCAATTAGAATTAAAAAGTTTAAATTCATTTTTAATTCAAAGTAAAGCTTTTCAAATATAACTCGCATTTGACTTACGGTTTCACAAAAATTTTAATATTTTCATTTAAATGTATACACATGCGTACATATGTATGCAAATGTGTAATATTTTTTTATAAATTTTATAATTTTGTTGAATTACACTTGCAAAGCTTTAAATTTCTACTCAACAAAGCAAATAAATTCATTTTAGAATAAAAAGTTGAATAAGAGAAATTAAATTAGGGATTCAAAAAAAAAATGTAACAAGAGAAATACTAGATAAAATGCATTAAAAACAAAAATTAAAAAATGGAAATAGCTTTAATCAAAATTTAAAAAAAAAATTTAATATGAATTTGTTTTCTACATGATTAACTAATAAAAAAAATCAAAGAACGTACAATCCATTCTTTTCCGCATTACACTCCAGGCCACAGCTATGTTTTTGTTTAAAGTAATTTAACATCAAGAAATGGAATTAATTAACATACATTTAGTTTTTATGTAATAATAAAGGAAAGGATAACATTTTCATACGTTTATGTTTAGTAAAAATGTAAAAATAAAGATCTTTAATGCAGTAAACCTTCGATTATTTGTCCGTCCGATATCTTACTTCTCTGATGACCGATTTAAATTAGTTGAATAACTTGAATTTCTCTTCAAAGATTCTGAGAGTACAAATTTTATTTCTAAACATAAAAAACTGACCTCTTTGTATCCTCCTTGTATTGATTAATTAGCTCTATTTGGACATAAAACTGAGATTATCTCAGATATACTTAGATATTTTAAAGTATTCCTTAAACACTTGTGTTTATTAAATATGTTAAAAATATTCTTAAAATTAAAATTTTCTGCTTGAAATCAAACAAGAATTTTTAGAAAGAATGATTTACAATTAAACATAAATAATATATTAAATTTTCAAATTTTCTCATGAATGTTTTCTCATTTAAAATTACAAATTCGTAACTAAACTATTGCCCCTACAGTTCATCAAGTAGTAAAAATAATATATCGTAAACTTTGACAAATTTGTTTTCGAAATATTAGCGAACATTTTTTTAGAAATAATCGAAGTTCTACTACAATTTTACGTTCTTGAATTGAAATTCTACCTGGTGCTAAAAAGTTTGAATCAATTTTATCAGAATTTCTTGGTTCATGTAATTCCATATATGCTTGTAAATGAGACCATAAAGCAGATTTTCCTTGTTTATTTTGTAAACCATGTGACCAAATTTTTTCTAATAAGTCACAGAGTGATGCAATTAAAGTGTTTTCTTCTATTCCATTAACATTTTCACCTGAAAGACCTAACAAGAATGCTTCATTGCCCATTTTTTCGAGTAACATTCGTTTAGTTTTGGTTTTTACATCCTATATTTAAAAAAAAAAATATTTAGCGACATTAAACAAAACATTTATAATTTTTTACCTTTAATAATTTTTCGACAAATGTCCAATTTGCTTGTGCTATTAACGCTGGACTCATATCAGAAGTTGTTAAATGAGCTGAGTTTCGATTTGTTGCAGGAACGGGTGGTGGTTTACCCTCCAAATTAATTTCTTTTGTTCGCCACTTTGTTGAACCATTTTTTACACGCCTTAAACTATTACCCCTACAATTCATCAAGTAGTAAAAATAATATTCAAAGTTTTTCATGCTTTTTTGCTTACTCAAAAAAACCATCGTAATAATAATAAACACAATATAAATAACATACAAATTACGTAAGTTTAAAAGCAGCACATAATGTAAAACTTAAATAAAATCTATTTTAAACAACAAAAAAAGACTATTAATTTTGAGATTTCTTACTTTTTGACACAGATTGATCGAAACCCTTTTTATTATAGAAAAATGTAAACAGAACCAAAGTTAATGGTTACCTGTTAAGAGGCTATTCCTCTCTTCTTCAATTATAATTTTAATTAGCATTTAAGAACATTTTCTAAATTCTTTGGAAAAATTATTTTAACAAATGTAAGAGAAATTTATATAAGGTACTTTAATTATTCTATTATTTTGTGTTTTTTCTTTACTTTATAAATTTACTGCAAAAAATGGGCTCCGAAACAACGGACTTGTTCAAATATTAATCAATTACCATAAATTTAGGGAAAGGGTCACACAAACTTACAACATGTTTTCTTGAACCCATTATCGGCCATGTGTAAGAAAATAAAAGTCTTGAATTGAATTTTCACTAAGACCAAAAGATTGTATTAAAAATTTTAGACAATTTGTAAGAAATAACAAAATTAAAATCTATATGTTATGTAAAGCATTATTTTTTAAATTAAGAAAACACAGAATGAAAGTGCACTACTTCTATGAGATGCATTAATACACAAAAATCGAAACATTCAATCGATAAAACTATTATTCTTTCGCATTTCTAATTTGTCTTGAAATAATAAAACAAAAAAAAAAGAAATTGTAATCAAAATTATAAATTTAAAGTTTATTAATGTATCAAATCAATTTTCATAAAAAAGATAAATCTTATTTTGGTAAGTCTTAATTAGCAACAAAAAAGTAAAAAGGTATAAATAATTTGTTATTTTTTTTTATTTTCAAAACAATTGAGTACCATAAGTTATAAATATGTATACTTCTTTTATTTTCTTAATTTAACTAATGAAATATTAACAGTGTAAACTTTGGTTTTTATTTTGTAAAAACTGAATTCAAAGAACTGAAAATTTTACATTAAATAACAAAATATTTATATTTATATAAAAAAAATAATATCATTCATAAAAAACGCATCAATCATCATTTTAATAAAAATTATGTTTGTATAATTATTTAAAATTTTTTTAACTTTTTCCCTATTATAAATTTTAAAAATTATAAGTATTTACATATTTATGTATTTTAAGAGTATCTGGATATTTTAATTTAGTTTCTAATATTTTACCAAAATTATTTTATTCCACAATTTTATCTATAATAATTTTAAACTAAAAATTTTAAATATGTATCTAAAATTAAACTTATCTACGTGTACAACTGATTCGAGTTTTGTTTTTTTTTTTTAACATTGCACAAATTTGTACAAAAATATAATCATGCTTTTAATAAATGTATTTTTTTTAAACAAATTATTACTAAGGAAAATTTAAAATAATTATATAATGTATAAATGTTTGAGCTTTGTCAATTTGAAGTTTTGCTTAGAGGCTTAAAGTTATATCAATTTACTAATTTTACTAGTATTGTGTTGAACGCTGTTATATAAAATATTAACCGAAGCTTGACCATAGAAAACAAATGTATATTTAAGGAATCTTTAACTTCCACTTTGAAGGCATTTAACTTCAATTTTTAAATTAAATATACATATGTATATAGTTATTAAAAACCACAGTAATCCAAAATTTTGTCTTCTATACATGCAAAAATTAATTATTTTTTAATAACAATACATAATAAAAACACAAAAAATAAAATTAATACATCTTGCTTTATAATATTACTTAAATTATTATTCAAAATAAAAAATAGTATGTTTTATAAGTTCTTAATCAAAACTAATTAAATCTTGCCTATATTAAAAATAAAAAAATATATTAAAAATAAATATATTGGTAAGAATAAATTGTAATATAAAGCAATAAATCATACAATATCAGTAAAATTTGATCTAAATTAAACAATAAAACAAAAAAAAAACCAAATTATATTTATGTATATGCCATTTAAAAATGAGCGTTAGTTAGGAATTAATTTAAGTTGCATTAATTTATTTCTATTTAAATATATAAAATCACTTGATTGGAATCAAATCTGGATACGGAATGTATTGCTTTTTGTTAAACACAAATTCTTATATGGTATAAAAAGCATTTTAACATTAATTAATTTCAGTCGAATTAATATCAGTAATGTTTTTTAGACTTTTATTAATGGATTTTGCACAATTTTATCAATTCATAAGTGTCATATGATAGTCAAGAATATTAGTTCAAATTTATGTAATATTTTGCATGTATGTACGTATGTAATAAAGATGAAAAATTAACTTTTTTTTTTAAATTATAAAAATTAACTTGCATTGAGAAGAAATTCAAATGAATATGCAGTTTTTGAAAAATTTGAAAAAAAAAAAAAAAAAAACTTTCTTAAGAATTTTTCAATTTACAAAAAGTGCCAAATTTGTGCAAATATCCAGCTTGTTTAGAGAACATGAATTTTATTATAACTTTTGATACAACACAAATTTCTTTATTATTTTTTTGATCACAAATATAAAACATATTTATTTTCGATTAAAATGATATCCTCTTCACAATATTGAATGAGTTCTGATATTTATATCGTATTTTTTGAAAATAGTTGGATTTCGATTTCAAGATGAACTTCTTTTTTTTTTGAGAAATTCATGTTAACTTAAACTTATAGCATAACTAAAAATTTAATTTTAAATACAATGCGTTTTTTAAAGAAGAACGAAAATATCATGATAAATTTTAGAAAACAAATTTTATTATCACATTAAATCACAGACAAATGTGTAAAATAATTTGTTTGAAATTTTAGAATTTCAGCAAACTATGAAAATTACGAAAATGAAATATTATGCAGATACAACTGAGTTACTATTTCAAGACGAATAATTAAAAAATTTATTGTGACGTGATTTTTAGCTCAACCCATATCAATCAGTTTGATATTTTAAAAAGAAAGATTCTTTATATGTAGTCAAAAGCGTTTAATGCATTGCAATGTTTAATGTGCAATTAAAGGATATCTAATAAATCATACCAATCAAAACAAAAATAGTAATGACAAATTTGCATACTTATTCTTATTAGCAATTCAAGTATTTTTTAATTAAAATAATGCTTTATAGTTTATTTCAACTTAATTAAAAGTAAAGAGCGAATTCATCCAATATTTCCAAATTTTATATCACCCAAATTAAATTTATATTAATTCGTATTGCACAAATCGAAAGGAGTTCTGTCTGATTTTTAAATTCAACAGTATTTGAAAAACATAAGCAACAAACTCAAAAGCACTACTTTCCATGTTTTTTGTAATGGTTTTTAAATACATAAGTATTGTATATAAATACACAAACATAAAAAATTTTTTAAAATACTGAATTGACAATTTTTCAAGCAAATTTTTGTGTGAAAAAAAACAATAAAAGTAGGCAGGCAAGTGATGACATTCTTTAACTTATATAATGAAAATTAACTACATTTACTATTAAAAAAACAAATGACTATTATAAACTTTTGATTAAGATGCAAAGTCATGCCATTCTTTCATTTTTAGTATTCCTAAATTATTCTGTTTCATTTTTACTCTTTACCTCGACGCGCACTCTTGATTTAGAACAGATTTTTCCAATAGTGGAAACCCTCGAAAGTATGCTGGTCGATTCGGTAAAATTTCGCTAGGTGGCGTTACTTCTAAATCAATAGTGATTAATCGTTTTTCTAACATTCGTTGGGCTTCTTGATTTAAAACACAAGGCTCGTAACTATTTGCTCTTAGCATGCTCTCCCCCCCATGACGTTTTCTATATTAAAAATAAAAAATTACTATACATACATATCTAATAGAATCTATTAGAAAATAATTCACCTCAAAATTTTTATTCGAGCATCGAATAATTTCAAATTTGTGTCAATTTCTTTCTCCCAAACAGCCATAATTTTGTTGTCTATTAATGTAGCAAACATTTGACTCTCCAGAAATCTACACAAAAATGGTCTATGGTGTTCTGGTTGATCAGACAAGAATGACGCTTTATCAAAATTTTGTAAAGATTCCCGATTGCTTAACCATTCTTCTTTCCCTTGATTTGGAAATATGACAAATTGATCATAGGCGGCAAACATATGAACAAAACGATTTAAAAACAATTCCCTGATTGAATTGTTTAATCTTTGATCTTCCACGTACTGATCTTGTAAAGTAAGTGGCTTTTCTTTAGTATTTCTACTTTTCGGCATTGAATCATCATAAATAATGAAATCGTCTAATTTTTTAGCACTTCTTTTCATAATGTCCATCATGCGAGGCATAGGTTCAGGTTTTGTAGAGCCCGAAATTAAGGGAGCGGTTTCAGCGGAATGATCTCTTGAATGGTCGGAGGCATAAAATGAATCGTGCATTGAAGATTTTCTTCCCCTCACTTGCATTCCCGATGGAAGTGTGCAACTGGATGTCATAGGGTCATAATCGCATGCCCCATTTATTAAACTAACAGTTTTAACTGGCTGATGAAAATAGTTTCTTTGATTTCGTGGCTCTAATGACTTATCCCTTTGAATTTGATATTTATCTAAAATTGTAATTATCTCTGACATGAAGTCTAGTTTATGTGGAAAAATTGGAAGTTCTTCAGGTAATTGAATCGTTTTTCTGTCAATGTCAACATAGCAAAGGGTAGCTTCTGAGCCAATTTTGGCATTTATTTCACAGTCCGCATGTAAACCCATTAAGAATGGTACAGGAGCATCAAGAAAATGATGTAATGCTGCTGGAAGAATTGGTGCATAAACGTGCGGCCAAACAAATGGATGTAAAAGAGACGTAATGCACTCTCCTATAATCATTAACTTTTGATAATCTGAAATAAAGTCAGTTTTTGTTAAAGCATTTTTTTATAGAATTATTCAAACCATTAGATCGTAATAAAACTTGATTTTCTAATAAAACACAGGTAAATAATTGTATCACGCATTCTACTCCTAAATATGAGAACAATAGCCGAATAGGAAAATCAAGTAAAGGTAATTCATCCTTATCAGGTCTTTGTAATATCATTGGTATCGGTGGCAATTGAGGCTCTTCTGGTGGTAAATAAATTCGAATTGATTTACCAGGCTGAGGTAGCATTACTTCATATAAAATATTATATACATAACTTTCTAAACTCAGACCAGGCCCTGGAGATCGCGGAAGACATCTAAAAAATAAATTAAGTTAAATATACATATGTATGTTGTAAAGAATTTCCACAAATTTTTTTTTGTCATTTCAAAAAATGTAAAAATGTTAAAATATATCATACTTATACAAATTTGTTAAAAATATTTCAGCTGCCCATGCATATGGTACTTGACACACAAGTGAAATAGATTTGGCCACGTAAAGCTTGTCTTTTGTAACATCATAATAGCTTAAAGCTGATGTTGGAGCAGCAGCCATTTTAAAATGTCTAGGTAAAGATCGACTCACAGGACCTTCCTTGACTCTCCTTAATGTAGATGTGGCTTGACTATTTGATAATTCTGTTATGAACATTGCCTGCGTAAAATAATTGTTTTCATAGTTTGTTACAAGTTTAAATAGTAAAATAAAGTTATACTTGGAGTGTTTGCATTGCACTACAAATGTTGCGATTTCTAACTTCTTCATAAAAAATTAAACTAAATCCATGGCAACGTTTTCCATCCTCTCGAGTAGTTGCAAAGGAATGGAAATTTGCTTCTATGTTGTGCTTTTGTGTTCGAAATCGTAATCCTTGTGGTAAAGAAAGCTAAAAAAATATTTAGTATTGTTAAAACAATTTTTATTTAATTCATAATTAAAAAATTTTTAAAGTATTTGAGTTGTTGAATTCCATTTTATTTTTATAATATCTACCATACAAATTCCAGCAGCGTCAAAAGGATTCCATGGGACATTTTCTGGGTAGTGGCAGAGCGGCTTACTCTTGTAAGCTCTCTCAAGTGGTGAACAATGCAGACTGTCTCCTTAATTTCAGCATAATAATATAAAATATTTGTAATTAAAATGTATTTTTTGTTGTAATTTGCGGAAATTAATCTTATAATTTTTGTTAAATGCTTTTAACCACGAAATCAATAAAACATGCACTGTGGCAAGCTAATTAAGTAACATGACGACAGCTTAAAAGATTTTTATTTATTCTTATTTTATTTGTATGTACAAAAAAACATATTATTAGAAATTTGATTAAGTAGTTTAACAAAAACACATGTGAATGTTATTGTTGGAACGTAACATGCAGCAAATGTTCAATTGAATTGAGCTTTTAAAATTTATCTTATACTTTAATAATTGAAAGACACGCTTTGTATTTAAGGCAATACGTAAGCAATTATTTGTTCTTAAATATTAGACATGATTTTCATGTATATGTGTATATTTGTATATTTCTGCCCATATCAACATTTCTTAAAAAATGTATGTAAATTGAATGTATCGATTAAAATTTTTATTATCATTTTATGGGGTCAAAGAAAGTGTTTTTGTGATACTTTTCAGAAGACAAATGTTTTTTTTTTTGACATATAATGGCATATTATTATATTATGTTATGCGAATAGAATTTTTTTTTTTAAATGCGAAAGTAATTTAAATTTTTGTCTTACCAGCAAAGCGATCAGGCTCAAGGCCTTCATCTAAATCAAGACCACATATAACAAAATAGTCTGCAAATCTCGAAAACTGAGGATCACATTTTAGAGTAGCTTCCAAAAGTGCAGTTTCTTTCGTAATCCCTGATCCGTTTCCACAATCTTCAACCGAGTTTTTTCTAGACCTTACATTAAGACCCTCTTGTATATTTTGAAAATTCTCAATTGATGGTGAGTTTAGAGTTTTAGATGTTAAAGAATGTCTGGGTGCAGGGGTTGGTATTGTTGGTGGTCTGCTTGATCTACCAGACGGAGTTGGGGTAGTTGGCGAAATTACTGTCGATGATGACATTAGTACTACGGCTGCCTTTTCTGTTTCAATCTCCTTGTCCGTCATTTATTTCAAGTAAATTATTGTAGACAAAATTAACCATTTATTTTTTTCTTAGCTTTTAACACAATTTTTTGTCATAATTTTGTTGTGAGTTTTATGAAACATTATTGTTACGAAAATATTTATTTTAAAATAACTTTTGTTGATTTTTTTACAACGAATTGAAAAATTGATTTTCCTTACTTTGTTTTATTTTTGCTTTTTTATGTCATTGCCCTGATTCAATTATATTAACTTAATTATTTGTCCATCATCATTAAAGTTATTTTTTATTATTTTCGATTTCAAATAAATTGTGAATTAATTGAGAATAATTCAAGTTTCTTTTATTATTGATTTGAATCATTAATTTTATAAACTAAAAATTCGATTTCTTTATTTTTAAAGTGAAATTTTACCAGAGATTTTCGACCAATTTTGGAGAGATTAAAAAATCTACTAAATTTCTGGTAAAGAAATAGGAAATCTTGTTATTGTATACATTTTGGTCTAACACACTGTTTCTTAACCTTCACAGAAAGCGACACCTAGTATTTTTTTTCGGAACAAAATATGATATAAAGATTTTTGATTGCGCACAAATAAAATTTTTTGTTCAAATATGATCACGTTTGATAAATCAAAATTTAAACAAATTATCATCAAATGTGAATATTCAAATTTCACAAAACCGCTAATATATGTAAAATACCAACTTGATAGAATATCTATGTGTATTTAAGAGAGAAGGATATGTCATACATTCTTGTATGAAGTGAACAACTCAAAATTCACAAAAATATAAAATTACAAAATGTTTAGTTCACCTCAAAAATTTCTGTAGTCAGAAAACATGACTGAAATTAAATATATAAAAGAAAACTACAAATTTAGTTTATTGGAAAGAGGAACGAAACCTAGTGAAATTACTCTTTAGTTACTAAAGTAGTGCTTTCTAGTCTTTTACAGGCTTAATATTTAAACGTCTTTAAACTCATCGTCTAACGATTTATAAGATCTGGTAGTAAATTGATGACAGTAGACGTTTTTGTCGAATTTGACGTCATCCGGGAGATATTTTATATAAAATGACTATTTTTTTAATAGTTGTAAATAACTTATTTTTTTAATAGTTGAACTAACGTCTTTATATCTAACATAAATATATAGTAAATTAACTTAACAGTTTGACAGCTCAAAGAATGAGAAAATTTTTTTCCATATTCAATTTAGATAACTACACAATAGGCACTATAGATCGCAATAAGTTATAAACGAATTATATGCATGTATATATGTGTATGTATGTTCACATTATTAAACTTCATGAAGAAAATTCTAATACTCGTAATTGCAAATGTTTGTGTTCATTCAATATTGTCAATAATATCCTTTTTTTCACTTAAATGCTGAATGTACGCTTGTTTGTACATATGTCCTTGTTTTTTGATTTCGATTTTGAAAAGTAACAAAAATTCTTATTTTACTGACATTTATTTTTTAACTGTTTTTGTTAGTATCGTTTGAAATTTGCATAAATGTTTTAATACTTTATTCCTTGGGGATTTTTCTTCTTGGTGTGTACACCAAGAAGAAAAATCCATATAATTTACAATTACACACTGTTGGTGTGTAATTTGTAAATTATAATATTGAAGTAAAAGTTGATAGGCATTTTTCTTAAGTAACTAAACAAGTGGAATTTTGTTTTTTTTGCATACATATGTACATACACTTATGTACTTATATATTTAGGTTGGCACTATGATCGATTCTTAAAATTTGGTTAAAGTAATTATGAATGTTTTTATATCTATTTAAGAATCTTTATTATTTTTTTAAAGTTATAAATGTTTTATTAAATTATGTTTAATCTAATTTCTAGCAGTTTTCATCAAATACCCAAGAAATTAAAACGTTAATTTTGAATTTAATAAGGTTTGACTACCAACATATTAGTATTCAATTAGAATTATCTCTTGATCTGGAAGAATTTAAATTATTTGCTGTTTAAAATTAAAGATACTGATTAAACTGCTCCAGACTATAATTTTGATTGAAGAATTTGAAAATCAAAACACTTTCTTGAATGTTGATGTTAAACTAAAACGAGGTATTTTAACAATGATGGAGAGTTTACAAAATGGGTTATGATTTTATTATTTATAATCTAATCTGTTAGAGGGTTTGTCAGGTTAATATTGTTTTTTGATGAATCAAAAGGTTAACATGTTGTATTTGTAAGTTAATTACAAGAAAATCAAATTAAGTATTTGTGATTTTATAATTTAGTTTTATATATTAAATTATTAAAAAAAAATGCTAATTGAAAATTTTTACATACAGATATAATATCTTTAAAAAATATATATGTACATATTTTACTTTAAATATATGTTGGTATGTATGCTTTGTTATGTATATATGTATATTATGTATGTAGGAAAAGAAATCTAGTTTAACAAATAATAATTATATTTTTCGTAAGCTTGACAGTAGGATTAAATATTAGAATGAAAACAATTTTTGCTTTTTCTAGATATCTGGGGGATATTTTTATCATTTTCTATTTTTATTATTTATAAATTATGATTTTATATTCAATATCGCTTTAGGAAATATAAACAAAAATAATGGTCTGTTCTTTTGTAATATTTTAGTAGGTAAAGATATTTTACAAGGCATATTGTACATATGCATGTATATGTATGTATAAATATTATAACAACATTTGTTATGCAACATTTTCATAAATATAACTAGTTTCTTTACATATTAACCAAGTCGAGAGCTTTAATAAATTTATAATATTTTGTAAATTTGAGTACTTACAATTTTTTTTTTGCAATATTATAAAAAATTTATCAATTTAAAAATTATTGGGAAACAAGAGCGCGGTCAAGAATATTGGAAATAAATTAATTCAGATTGGGGAGCTTAAAATTTATGATTAACAATTAAATAACGCATCCATTTTTTTTTTATGTAGCGTGTGTAAAAAAATTAGACTTCAAAATTCTATAGAATTAAGCAATACGCACAATCTCAAATGCAACACAATGGTATTCGGTATATATTAATTAGGTGAATTAAAATGGATGTCGGTTTGTCAGGGGCTGAATTTTAATATTATTTTTTTCTCGTCTTCAAAATTAATAATGATCTATTGCCACAGAATTTAAAGAGATGTCTGAATTATGTTGAGGAAGCAATCGAATACAATTTAAGGCCCTCAAAAACGTTTTGATTCACACTATCTAATAATCTGTTTTACAAAACGTGTTCAGCTGTTTAATAATCTACTTTATTATCTATTAATTTAGAATTAACTCAAATGAACTTATTAAATTTAATATTATAATGAATTAAAAATGAATTATTTATGAATTTTGAACCTACAGAATTTAAAATATTATTCATACTAATAAATATTATTAACAAAAAAAAAAAATTTATGTAGAAGAATTTTTATAAGAGAACGTCTATGTAAAGAAAAAGCACGTGCAAAATTTTTTACTCTTTTTTTTATCAGTTTACAAAAATTATTTTATAACATACCTAGGTATATATATGTGTGTATGTTAGTATATGTCCGTAATATAAAATTAAGATTTACGCCACATGATGCGCTTGATTCGATATTCAGCAATTTTCATAATAAAAACAGCAAAAACATCTGTAAAATTATTATAAACAAAGGCAAAAAAAATTAATGGGTTTTACATATAAAGGGTAACAGTTAAAACTACAAATTTTTATCAATAACAACAAAAAAAACAACAACAACAATTATGTTAACGGAAATAGAACATAGAAATATGTAAATAAACTTTACAGTTATGTAAATTTTTTCTACAGTCTTTTTAATATTTTTCGTTCTTTTTTTTTCAATATTATAGTTTTAAATATTAATTTGTATGTGTGTGTGTGTATTTGTATATGCACGTGTGTTAGTCAAAATTTTGATCCTTTTTTCATTTATATTTTTATAGTTTTAATATACCGTCGTTTTCGTATCCGACATTATTATTATAAATATTATGTTGAGAAAGCATAATTAAAAAAAAGAAAAAACAAAAAAAAAAAATAACAAAAAAAATGTTCCCTTTTTTTTAAATGCATTTAGTAAGATTTAGTGCGTCGCGGTCTTTCGACCTATTAACACGATCTTACGGTCTTAAAAAAGAAAGAATTATATTAGGCGGAATGTAAAAAAATATTTTATGTAAAAGAGACCAATTTAATATTTTTTTTTTTGGGTGAAAAACCGTTGCATATTTAAAAGAAATTTTTTTTGATTAATAACGGTTTTTCTTTTATTTTATCGCGGTACTTTTATATTTCGTTCATCTTTATTTGTTCCAAGTATTGCATAAAAAGGAAAAATATATAAAAAAATTTGAAATATGAATTTGCATATGGCATATACGGCGGCGTGCGTGTGTGTGTGGATAAAATTCGTTATAAAAAAATAACCGTAATTTGTACTTTAAATTTATTGTTTTTTATATAAAAAAAAAAAAAACAATAATAACCATTAAATTTTTTCGCCATTTATTTTAAAAAATTTGTGTTTTTTTTTATTTTTTTTTGTGGTTTCAAACTAACTCTTAATTTTTTTTTATTTTATCCTGTGTGTTATCCTTGTTTACTAATTTTTATTGAGTTTTATAAGTTTTTACTTAACTTTTGCCTTTGATGTTTAATTTTTTGTTTTTTTCTCGACTATTTTTATTGAAACAAAAAAATTACATAAAATATTTGTGTTGTAAAATTGTTACAAAACTTAGTTAATTTTTTTTTTATTTGGAAAACTTTTTCAATGAAATGTTATGAAATATTTAATGCCTGATGAATAACCGTTTTATGGTTATGTAATAATATAGTTTATTCAAATGGACAAATTTTTTATACTTGATTTCTGAGTGTATTTGATATTGCAAAATGTGAATTTAAAATTTAAAAAGATTAAATAAATTATAAATAAAATTTTTTGTTATAAATTAAATTAAAATAAAGTTGATAATTTTTTAGAAATTCTGAAAAATTTTAAAGTGTTTTAAAATATTCATAATGTTTGTAGTTGTTTTTGAGAATTTTGACTACTGGTTTTCTAGTTTTTTATTTGAATTTGCAATTAAAAATTAATATTAAAATAAATATTAAAAAAATAATTAAAGTTTTCAATTAAAATAAATATGTAGTTTGCTTGAATTTCTCGGAGACTGGATATTCAAAAAGGATTCTGTAATGGAAATTGTTTAATTATTATTTACCTATAAAAATACTTGTAATATTTGCAAAAAAAAAAATATTTTTTTTTGATTTATTAATGTTAAAGATCAGTAACTGCGTCGGTAAAATATATAGCTAGAAATAAAAATATTAGTAATTGGAAATTGAATACAAAAATTTTATTTGGAAATTAATTTAAATTTTTGCAAAATTTAAATACGTAAAATTTAATTAAAATTAAAAAAAATATATAAAATATTAATTACTTACAAAAATCATTTTTAAAAATTTTATTTAAATTTCATATTAAATTTCATTAAAAAAATATCCAATTTGTGTGTAAGATTGCAAAGAACTAACAAAATTTCAAATTACTCTGTTTTTTGGAATAATATAGGCTATTTAATTTTTTGAGTTGAAGTAATTTCTTAACTTCTTTAAGAAAATTCCTTTTTTTTTCTCAAAAAAATTAAGAAGATTTTTCAAAATTCACTTATAACTTAGATCTGAATATAAAGCATGTTCGATAAGTTTTAATTGAAAAATCTTCAAATGTTGCCCTGCTCGATTAATCTTTACTACAAAATTTATTGGGCGTTCAAAAATCATAGAATTTTTTAAGTACTAAAGCAATTTTAAAGCTTTTCTTTCAAATTACTGCAAAAATATTTTAAGTTTTAAGAAAATATCATTGAAAAATGTATGATATTGAAAATATGAAAAGTAAATTTATAGAAAATGATGGAAAAAACAAGATTTTTAAGATTTAAGTGCGAATTTTAAACGCATATTATCTGAATTATCGAGAATTTGTGAATTTTTCAAGTAAAACATTTTGAATATGGTGAAAAACTTTGAATCTGAATTTTTATCAATCTTTTATTCCTTAGTTTTGGGCTTCTGATAAATCTTGTTAAATCATTAGAATTACTTTTTTAGAATTTATTTTCAGACACCTTTTGCATTAAATGTTCTATATCGAACCAAATTCATTTCAATAAAATTATAAATTATTAACTAGTCTAGGTAATTGAATTTTGTCGAAGCTCTATATTAATTTTAACAATAATTTTCTTTTTTTAAGTTTAAGACAAATGAAAAGTCTTTTAATAAATGAAATATTTTCCAATTTCACACTCTTTATATAATTTTAAGAGATAGGCTGCTAAAGTAACTTAACTATACATATAATATTTGCAAGCTGGTGTTCCTCAACAATGTTTCAGATAATTGCATTTAATTGGATTATATGCTGATGAGTTCGACTTTATGGAACGGTAAACAATCTCGGTTTGAATAAAATAAAATCGAAATTGCATTAAAATTGCATTATAGTTTTCTATAAAATTTATTTCAAAAATTCTGACTAAAGAGTACCTACATATTGTGTAATTACGATTCTCGGATTGTATTAGCAAACTTTTTCAATTTATAGCGCTTGTAGCATATTAAGACAAAGACTCAAGTTCTTTAGATTTTGTTTTTGCAATTTAGATACAGTTTTTGTCTTTCGGGGTGATGAGAACCCTTGTTTTTCTCCAAAATTTCATAAAATTATATAAGTACTCATAAAATATTGTATTATATATGTATGTATATAAGACGTTTTCTATTTCTTAAAATTTTCTTTTATTCTTGTAATTTGGCCAAATCAACCACACTTATTTCTTATCCTTTTGTAATTTCATGTCTTAATGTATACTTTACAAAAAAATTCATTTATGTAAACTTAAAATATTTTTTTACAAGTTCTATTTTATTATAAAACAAGAAGAATAAGAAACAGACCGCAATTGTTATTGAAGAATATACGACGAGTCTTCTATCTCTTTCTCTCTACAGAAAGCACTTTTTACTCGATAATTATTTTCTATTGTTTGTTTTAGTTTTTCGCTTGTTTCTAGATTTCTACCTATTTTTAATGAAAAACATTTTGTTGTAAATTTTAAGAAAATCATTGTAATTATTATTTTTTAAGAGAAAAATTTTTTATAACAACGGGAAATGGTTAAAAGTGGGCAATAGAGTGTATCTGGCACTGTTATGTTTAACATGAAAAAACAATTAAAAGTAAATCGTAATTGAATTTTATTGTTAAATTATTGGAATTCGGTTGATAGGAACTAGTTTTTCGATTAAGATTTTGGTAAAAGTTTATAAAATAAAAATTGAGCTTGAAACTTTTTATTGTGGTTTTAATAGATCAATCCTCGGTACGTGTATGGCATAGAAAAAATATTATACTTACATTAATACGTTACACTGATAAGTGTCATGAATTACAACGTACTATAACATTTTGTAACGATTATTCCTTGGTTTCGAGGATTCAACTTTAAAGAATCATTATATGCAATTACTAGTGTATGATTTTGTGTGATAAATTGCCTTGTATAACAAATTAAACCTTGTATTGCCTTGTATAACAAATTGGTAGAAGGTGTTCTGACATCGGAATTTTAATAGCATCGTATCGGTTAAAGGGGTTAAATTTTTCGAAATTGAAGGAGGAAAGAACTAAACAAGCTTAAATTAGGGTGGCCTATAAAAAATAGTTTTATTAACTTTTAGCAAATTTGCTGTTGGTTTGCTTGCTGAAATTTAAAAATTTTATTTCTTTCAATTACAATTGGCCAAAAAATGTTTTGTTAAGAAAAATACAAATAACCGCTGATTGTATTCCGTTTTTAAAGTTTCGTTTTAATGACATTTTGTTAAAATGATATCGAATATTTTTGATTGTCGAGAAATGGTGTGCATAGAAACATAATTTCGGGGCCTTTGTAATAATTTCTTCTTGCAAAAATTTTTATTACTATAATTGCATTTTTTGTTTTGTGTTTTCTTACTGAAACATAAAATGTTTCATTTGTTGAAATGTTTCTATTGTTTTGTAAAAATGTCTCTATTGTTTCAAAAACAAAAATCTAAAAGAAAAAAATAGTTTCTCCTTTTAGTTCCTTAATAGTGAAATATTTACATTCAATTTGTTTTGCATTATGTTCATTTAAGTAACTTGCATTTGTAGACAATATCTGTCAAATTGTTGTTAAGTATATAAATATTTGCATATTTTTAATTGTTATTTACATATGTACATTATGTGCCATCTATACGAATCTAAAAAATTTTAAAGTTTCTAAAAATTTCATAAAAATTATCATTAGATATTTATAAAATTATCAAAGAAAGCTAAAAAAAGACAATATGGACAAAATTTAGAATTTTTCTAAAGTTCGAATGCTTATGTTTCAGAAAGTAAATAAAAAAAAAAAAAAAGTAATACGTTTATTTTAAGCCCTTTACTAATCCTCTCAAAAACTGCTTGTTTGAAGTTTTTATTTCTTTTGGAACGGAAGTAGTAAGCGAAAAAACTTGTTAGTTCACATGCGCGACATATGTTCTGTGGTCTCATTCACGAAGAACTTTCGGACTTCGATTCCACCGAGACAAGGCTGGCTGAACGAGGGCGCGTTTAGGGGTGGATCTGTCAATTTTTATACGGATGGGTTCAAGCTATCTACGGTGGCCTGGGGGCAATGTGATATATGCCGGCCACGTCAATATTTTCACTAACAGCCAGGCTGCGGTAGGAGCTTTGGAGATTGAAATCTTCACATCCAGAACGATTTTGAACTGTAGGTCGATTCAGTTCAATATAAACTTGGTTTGGGTTCCCGGACACAATGAGGTTCCGGGGAACTGTAAAGCGGGCAAGCTTGCGAGTTATGGCACAGCCCTTGGGAATCTAAGATCTCCGGAAAAGGAGAAGCTGAGCATAAACCTAAGCACCTACAAAACAGTGGAGCTGTGGAACGTGTTAATCTTATATATGGGCGAATGTAACAACGTTTAACGCGACAAGGAAGTTGTGGCCAAACCTAGATTTGCGTCGAACAAAGGAACTGATTTTACATTTTTAAAGTTTTGGAGAGTCCTAGCTTTAGGTTTATAAACCAAAATTTTTTTTTAATTTTCTTTACTGTTTAATAGTATTAGAAATTCATAAGTTTAATATTTAAGAACGAGGAAATGTAGAGTTTTAATGATTGCTTTATGGTACGGATATGAATTAATTGACAGATATGAACTCACAAAATTAACCACTTCGAAATCAGGAAACCGGAAGAGTTTTATGAATATGTTCAACTGGGGAATGAAACTTTTATATAATAGCAGATGAAAAGAGTGTAAACATATACAAAACTTTTTTTTTATGCAAAACAAATAATAAAAGTTTAA